AATTTGGCTTCGGATATCTGCTATATATAAAAGAGCTGTGTCTGTCTGTCTGTCTGAGCCGTTTCAAATTACTTATAGTTAGTTTGACTCAAAATTCCATGAAGTTCTGAAAACTGTTTTTAAATTTGTAAAAAAACAAATGCCCCGACGCATGCCGGAGTCGAACCCGGGTCGTGTGGGCTAGAGACAAGGGCGCTCGCACTGCGCCAACAGGGCCGGGCGGGCTCCGAGGACGGCCGGGTAGTTAACAAGCCTAACCGGTTAACGAGCGGTCAACGACCATGGCCGAGTGGTTAACAGGCATGGCCGCTTGACGGGTTTGTAAGAGACCATGGCCGAGTGGTTAACGCGGGCGTTTCTGAAACGAACGAAAGAGAGAGGTCGTGGGTTCGATTCCCTTTGCCGCCAATTTCTTGGCAATGAATGAATGAATGTCCAATAAGTCAAGAAACTAATGGCAAAGGAACCGAGGGGAATTGAATCCCCTTCTGCTTCTGGGCAGATGCTCTACTACTGAACTGAGCTATCAGCCCACTTTGCTCAAGAAGCAAGAGGAAGAAAGAGAGGAAGAAAGAGAGGAAGCAAGAGGAAGCAAGCTAGAGGAAGCAAGTTAGAAGACACAAATTCCCTAACCCAGCACCACTCTTGTTTTTCTCTCTAATTTCAAAGGCATTGAAAGGTTGGCAAAGGTGAGATAGCACGTATCAGCTGTCCCTTTCACTCAATTTAAAGCCACGATACGTTCACGTTGGAATGGGGAAAGAGGGTGTCCAAATGAACGAAATGGCAAAAGAAAGAAAGAGGTGAAAGGGCCGGTCAGCTGCCATCGAATGCCCTTTGCCAGCTGTGGATCATGTACGAAAGCTCATTGTTGTAATTGTATGCTGGCTGGGTTTTTGTGTGTTTAAATTTTTCATTTTTTTTTGTTTATTTTGTGGAGAAACGTTTCTTAACAATAAGTTTATTTAAATTTTTAAAAACAAAATTTTCCTAGCCGATTGACTTACAATTTTAATAGCAATAAATACAAATTTTTGATATCTATCAATTTTAATAGCTACCATATTTTCTCTAATAGTAGTGCACCCTGGCGAGCCGATTTGGTGACTATCTGGCTATGGCAGCTTCTTGCTGGCTTGCTGGATGGCTGCTGGCTTGCTGGCTTCTTGCTAGCTTCTTGTGTTTATCTGAATTCAGAAAAACCCATTCTATCATTGGCATTAAGTATTCAACTTATCTCTATCTTTTTATCTAGACCTTAAAAAGTAAAAGTAGTCCAGTGGTAAAGCATCTGCCTAGAAAGCTGTTCAATTCAAAGGTTCAATTCCCTTTGCGATCTTTCTTTCTTTTTTTAGTCATCAGGCTCAAGACGTTCTAGTTAATCAAAATTGATTAATTAGAATGGAGCCTAAGTCTGAGCCTGAGTCTGAGCCTAAACCTGAGCCTGAGCCTAAACCTGAGCCTGAGCCTAAGCCTGAACCTGAGCCTAAGCCTGAGCCTAAGCCTAAGCCTAAACCTGAGCCTGAGCCTAAACCTGAGCCTGAGCCTAAACCTGAGCCTAAGCCTAAGCCTGAACACCAATCAAGGTAGCTAGATGAGCTCATCTTTAACATATTCACGACGAGTTATTTGTCGACAATCACTAGTGGGAATGATTATTTTAATTTTAATGATTAACAATTAATTTAATAACGATTATTTCTAATGATTATTTCTAATAATCAAGTTTTTAAAGACTTTATTATTTATTTTGCAGAAAGATCTCGTTTTGTTTTGTTTTGTTCTCGATATCTTTTCCCTAGTTTTCAATAGGGATTCGTTGAATGATTGAACTTATCGTCGAACTTATCTCTATTGAATAACTATAATAGATCAATTTACCTTTAAATTTAGAAGAAATAAGTCAAACATTTATCGACTAGATTGTCGACTAGATTATCGACTAGATTATCGACTAGATTGTCGACTAGATTATCGATGCCGTTGTCGTGAATTTATTAACAATCAAGTAATCAAGTTCGAACTTTCATCAACAATTTATTGTTTTACTTTACCGTTAAAAACCCAGCTCATTGGGGGGAGAACCTGGCACGGTTTGAGTGCCATTAAGTGATCAGTGTTTGGGTGGGGGGATGGCTGGCCAGTCTCTGCACAAACAGGGCAGGTCAGCTGTCTCTTTTCCTCTGGGCGAGAGTGTCCTTTTCGCAAAGGCAGGGTGAAAGGCTCGTGGCAGTGTGTGCCTGCACCGATTTCCCCTCTCGATACTTGTGCCAGTCCTGACCGTTCTCCCCATTCTTTTTCTGAACTCTTTTCTCTGCAATCTTTTCATTGAAACGAGAGCCGGAATTTGCCATTTTCAACTCGAAAAGAGAACTTGATTACCCGGTGCCAAAAGTTTTCTAGGATTTCGTAATTTGTTCAATTCAATTATGACAATTTGCAATTGCAATTGACAATTGCAGTGCAATTAACAATTGCAATTACAATTTGCAATTACAGTGCAATTGCTTTTGATTAGTAACAATTACACTTCTGTTTTTCTAAAGCCAATCTTTCCAGTACCGTTAATGCCATAAATTACTTATCTTCAACGCCAAAAGCTTAAACTAATTTCAAATGAACTGATTGTGATTGTGTTTTTACTTGGTCAGTGTACTGCTTGCTTTCTCTTAAGTAAGGCATAAGATCCACCTCGGTTTCCGTGCCAGGTAGCTCATTGCCAGGTAGCTGGTAGATCGTTAGTAGATTGTAAGCGAGAGATCGCGGGTTCGAATCCCGAAGCTGATCGAATCCCAGAGCTGATCAAATCCTGGAGCTGATCGAATCCTGAAGCTGATCGAATCCTGAAGCTGATCGGATCCCGGAGCTGATCGGATCCTGAAGCTGATCGAATCTTGAAGCTGATCGAATCCCAGAGCTGATCGAATCCTGAAGCTGATCAAATCCCGGAGCTGATCGAATCTTGAAGCTGATCGAATCCCGAAGCTGATCGAATCCTGGAGCTGATCAAATCCCAGAGCTGATCGAATCCCGAAGCTGATCGAATCCCGAAGCTGATCGAATCCCGAAGCTGATCAAATCCCGGCGCTAATCAAATCCCGGCCTTTTTACCCCAACCGATCAAAGGACTCCTTGTCCTTAAGACTGTTTTTCTAAAGCCAATCTTTCATGATTTCATTTGGATAAAGAATAATTCCTAGATCTAAATCTATCCTTCAATCATGAGTGGTCACTTTGAATGCCAAAAGAAACTTGGGCTGTCTTTGACGGCGGTGCCACCCGGGGGTGAGCGCTGATAAACTTGGCTCACCCAACAGCAAACATTGCTCCTTTTTGCCATCATTCCTTTTCAACATTTGACCTGATCTTCTTTTCTTTTCTTTTCCCTTTTTGGCTCACTTGTTTTCTTGTTCTTTGCTTTCTTTGCTTTCTTTGCTTTCTTTTGCTTTCTATTATGCTAAATCCTCGTTTCTTTATCCCCATTTCATTCGCTTTTGACGGACATCTTTGTGTACTTTTTTGGCGCTCAAAGTTTCAACACAGTTTTTTATGACCTCGAAATTTGAATTTTTAAATTTTTCGGGTTACCTGAACACCTGGCTTATCCAATTTTGAATTTCTTTTGATGAATAGAAGTTTGATCGAAGAGTTAACGAGAAAATGGATCAGTTAGTGCAGGTGAAAAGTTTATCAAAAGCTTTAGAGTAAGGCAAAGATACCGTAGTCGCTCTTTGATCGTATCTAGAGCGATTCATAGAACACTAAAGAGCTCTTTTTTCACCTCTAAGCTCACCTAAGTCTAGTAGGTAGTAGGGGCATGAGTAGGGGAGTACTCTAAAGCTTTTGATAAACTTTTCACCTGCACTAACTTATCCATTTTTTCGTTAACTCTTCGAGGAAACTTCTATTCATCCAAAGGGCATTAGTACCGTAATATCTGAGTCTATTCCCCAGGTATTACGGTATTCATACTACTAAAATCTTATGCAAGACTATTCCTAGCCTAGATTCCACAACTAGGAAACCAGAACATTGATTTGAACAGTTGAGAACTCAAGAAATTCAGAACCAGAAATCCCATTGTATTCCTTAAAAACTTAGCTCCTTTCTTTCCACTTGACAGAAAAGTTCTGCGACTCAAAAGTGAGCAACTACCTCGAAATGAACGTTGCCGGATCTCGAGACTTTCTCCTCTAACAATCCCTTATAGAGAAAAGCAGCTGAATGGAATTGGATGTGAAGAAATGGAAGAAAAGAGAAAGGAGAGAGTGAGTGAGTGTCACTCGGTGCCACTAATGTCTCGAGACTGAAAGAGAATGGTCAATGGGGAAAGGGAAGGAGAGAGCCTGTTCAGGATTTGAGCTCTAGAATCCCTGCACAACCCTACCCACCTGTCAGCCTCAATACCAAACTCCAGGCTTTCCCTGGAAGTGAATGGGGATGAACCCTAGCTCTACCGAAGATAACCAAAGCCTACCCAAGCCTGTACAACCTTACCAAAGCCTACCTAAGCCTGCAAAACCCTATCCAAGTCTACCGAAGCCTACCGAAGCCTATTGAAGCCTACCGAAGCCTACTGAAGCCCACTGAAGCCTACCAAAGCCTACAGAAGCCTACAGAAGCCTATTGAAGCCTACCGAAGCCTACTGAAGCCTACCGAAGCCTACTGAAGCCTACCGAAGCCTACCTAAGCCAGCACAACCCTATCTAAGCCTACCGAAGCCTACCGAAACCTACCTAAGCCAGTACAACCCTATCCAAGCCTACCCACCCCTACTCACCCACCCACCCATCATCCCAGCCTCAATCCTTCAAAATCCCGCCCCCAGGCTTGCTTTCGCTGGATGTGAATGAATGGGGGTGAGAGTGGTGCTCCTGGCGGTGCCCCCGCCCTCGAAATTTGGAGAAAGAGTGAAAAGGAGAGAAAGAGAAAGGAGAAAGGAGGCCGGTCATCCCAACGGGATCTCCCAGATCCTCGATCTTTTCCGCATTTCTCCGAAATGATCCACCTATTGCCGGTGAACCCGATTCCACAGGGCCCGATGATTGGCTCACCTACGAGTCCATCGAGTACCTCTAGCAGTACAAGTTCGTCTACCATTCAGCCTCAAGTTTCCCCCATTTATCAACCCGGATCTGCTCCTGGGTCGGCTTTTCGACGGCCAATTCCTCAACGATTGCAGCAACCGATTTATCCAGCAATTCCCCTGCAAACATGCGCCTATCCGGCGATCCAAACTACGGTAAGTGATACGGTTTTTGTTTGGTTTCGTTTGTCTGATCGTTTTTCTACATCCAGCTCGAATCATTCAACTTAAAAGCTATCTTATTTGTATTATTATTGTAGAAATTGAAACCTTTTTGACTCCTTTAAAATTCGTCTTCGATATTTCCATTGATAACTCGTTTTTTGAAAGGAAAGATTCATGATTTTGATTAGATAAAGAATAATTTCTAGATCTAATGAATCCAACTCAATTAATGATCTAATGAATCAAACCCGATTCCACAGGGCCCGATGATTGGCTCACCGTCGAGTCCATCGAGTACCTCTAGCAGTAATTCCTAGATCTAATGAATCAAACCCATTTAATGATCTAATGAATCCAATCCATTTAATGATCTAATGAATCCAACCCGATTCCACAGGGCCCGATGATTGGCTTGGCTCGATGAATCCAACCCGATTGGCTCACCGTCGAGTCCATCGAGTACCTCTAGCAGTAATTCCTAGATCTAATGAATTCAACCCAATTAATGATCTAATGAATCGTCATGATTTCATCATTTCATTAGATAAAGAATAATTCCTAGATCTAATGATCTAATGATCTAATGAATTTTTCTCCAAATCCCCGCCTTGATAGAGGTCGAATGGGTGAAAAAAGAAAAGAAAAGAAATTTGTTACCTTTTTCCCAATCACAAAAATCTGCCAATCTGTTTTCAAGATCTTTCAAAGTTTCACGTGATTTTTTGAACCACAACAACCACAATGACCGTTCCCGGATTTGACGCTTATTTTGAACAAAACCGGATCCGTCTGGCATCAACTTTACACGCATACATCACTTTCTTGTCTTCTTGTCTTCTTGTCTTCTTTTCTTCTTGTCTTCTTCTCTTCTTCATTTTCCCATTTTTCTTTTCTCGAAAACATTTCATGATTCATCTAGTTGAGAGCTGGTTTAAGAGCTGGGGGAAAGCCGAGAGCGAGAGCGCTTTGACCGTTCAGGTGGAAAAAGGGGGGAATTTTTGAGCTAGCTTTAGAATATCGAGAAACTTTGATCGTCACACTTGCAAATGTACTAATTGGGTACAAATGTGGTACAAGTAACATACAAGCACAGCCCCCAAGCCAAAAAAATCCATATAGATAAAGAACCAATAATCCAACCGTCGGGATTGAACCCTTGACCTCCCGACTGAGATACGAGGCTTTTAGCCAGTCGGCTATCAGGGCCGTTGCTAGTCGGCTAAGGTAGCCTTTTAAACACTCGGCCATGACGGCCTTTTAGCTATTTAGGCAAAAAAACCAATAATCCAGCTAAAATAATGATCTAGGTGGGACTGAACCCTCGACCCTCGGTCTAAGATACCAAGCCCTTAGCCACTCGGCCACGGCGGGCCTTTGGTGGATTGGTCATGAAGGGCTTTTAACCAGTCGCCCATAACGGTCTTAGCCATTGAGCCAAAAAGAACTGACGATCCAGCCGGCGGGATTGAACCCTCGACCTCCCGACTAAGATACCGGGATCTTAGCCAGTCGGCCATAGCACCCTTTGTGGCTAGTCTATCATGACAGCCTTTTAACCAATCTCCAAGAAACTCAAGTCAATTAAATTTGATTCAATAAATCAATGAGAACACTGAAATTCTTATTTCAAAAATTCCAAAAATCACATCACCTTGTTCTCAATCAGTTTTTTTCTCCAACTTCTGCTCATTTACAGCAATTCTTTGCACAGATTCCCCTCTAAAGATTGCAAAGATTTACGAGCTGAGCGATTAACTTTACAAGGTCAAATCAAGAAATCTAGTGCCACTGATAACATAGGTCAATAAAGAGATAAAGGGACAAAAGTGGGGCAAGCGGGGGAAAAGCCACAATGAGATGATGACAGATCGGGGCGATCAGATAGAGTCAAGGTCGATTTTTTCGTGGTGGTAAGGCCTTGCTAGCCTTGGTGGCCTTGTTGACCTCTTTGACCTGCCATCCCCGCGCACGACCTTGCACCGATCGGCGGCTCTGTTCTATTCAATCCTTTGCCAGTCTTGCCTCATTGGTTCTCTCTCACTGACCACTACAGTTCTTTTTTTCGTTTACTTTGTCGTTATTTCAATTTCTAAGCGCTGGTTAATGCTAAAAATAAAATATATCTAGATCTGCACTCAAACAAACGCTCATATCTCGACATCAGCACGCGTGTTTCTAAGCGCTTTAGTATCAAATTAAAGTAGAGAAAATGGGTGATCTTTTGAGATATAAAACATATTGTTAGCATTAACGAGCGCTTAGAAAAAAGTGATTGAAATCGACGAAAATCGACCCTTTTTTTACCACTTTTCAATCACTTTTTTCTAAGCGCTGGTTAATGCTAAAAATTTGTTTTATATCTCAAAAGATCACCCATTTTCTCTACTTTAATTTGATATCAAAGCGCGTAGAAACAAACGTACTGATGACTAGATATGAGCGTTTGTTTGAGTGGAAATTTAGACTACGTGACGCTCCTCTAGAGATGGCCGTTTTATTAGAGTTTTTTACGATGAAACATTACAAAATGGGAAACATTAGCGATCAGGGAACCTTTCCAAAAACCCTGACCAATATTCCTTGACCTTTCATTGCCAGTATGAATAATCGGAACAGGGTATTGATTCGGGAAAATGCCAAAAAAAAAATCGGTTGCTCTCAACGATGGAAAGAGATGGCAAGTGCCTGTTCTTTTTTTCATTTCTCTTTCATTTCTCTTTTCATTTCTCTTTCCTTTTCTCTTTCCCCAATCCACTCTTTTCCCACATTTTCAACCTTGATTCATCCAAGGGTCAGCTCTTTCCCCAATCCTTTTTTCCTTTTCTCCGATTGATGGCCACAAATGGCATTGCCCAAGCCTTACCCCTTCAATGACCTTTCATCACATTCATTCAAATCCATCCGTTTTTGAAAGCCAATAATTTTTATATAATTAAATAATTGAATATAATAATAGAATATAATATTGAATTGAATAATTGAATAGAATAATTGAATATTTGAATCTTTTAACTTATAGCTTAGCTTAGCGAATAGCTGTGAAATCCTAATATCCCAATTGTTTTTCTGTCTTCTTTTATATCTTTTCTGTGTTCTTTATATCTTTCTACCATTGATTACTTGCAGAAGTTGAAAATTTTGGCTTTATTTAGCTTTATTTAGCTTTATTTAGCTTTATTTTGCTTTATTTTGCTTTATTTTGCTTTATTTTGCTTTATTTTGCTTTATTTTGATATATATTGATAGATTTTGACTTTTATAGCCAAAAGCTAGTAAATCCAAAAGCTAGATAGCTAGTAAACCATTTCCTGGCAATGGTTATCGTTTAGCGGTTTCGGTTTAGCAAACAAGCATCGTGTTCACCCGGTAGCTTATTGGTTAGAGTGTTCACCCGGCAAGCGAGAGATCGCGGTTTCGAAACCCGGGCGCCGATCGGGTTTTGGATTCCCAGCCATAGAAAGGACTTGCTAGCTGATAGCTAGATAGCTGATAGCTATTCTACACTGATTCCAGAAGCTAGATGTTCCATACTGATGGTTTAAGTATCTATTTAAGTAGCTAAGTAGCTATTGAAAGTCGAACTGTTGATCCATTCACTATACTCTTTCAATATGCTCGCATCTTTCTTGTCTCTGCTGAATTGTCGTGAGGAGGCGCGTGCAGTGGAAGTCCTGCCCTGGCCGCAGCCTTTCAGGGAGCGAAGTGGGGAGGGGAAATGTTTGGACTGTCCCCTTTTCCCAGTGGTGGTGGAAGATCGTACTAGGCCGGGAAGGGACCCGGGGGCAGAGAGGCCCGGGTGAAAGACTTAGGGGGGAGCTGAGAGAAAGACGTGCACCCCAGGGCAAATACTGGTGATCGGGGTTTGGCCGGACTGTTTGGGTCTTCTCTTTCCCTTGGCCCGTCACTCACTTTCCGTACCGCACGCGCCCGCCCTCAATTTCATTTGGGCATTCACTCCTCAACTTTCGCCTACTACTCACCACTTTTGCTAGTTGCCTGGGTACTGTATTTGTCTCATCTGCCATAACTTTATACTTTAATTCATTTTTGATAACTACAAGCTTATCTTAAAGTTAATTGTAACCTATCTTATAGTTAAAAGTTATCTTATAGCTGTGCTTTCTTATGGTCTTGACTCTACAAGGGTACTGTAACCAAGCCAAGCTACTGTAACCAAGCCAGGCTACTATAACCAAGCCAGGCTACTGTAACCAAGCCAGGAGACTATGCTCTAACTCATCTAAGTCTTTTATCTGTTATTTATACTCTTTTGTTCTAACTATGGATACAGATATCCCCCTAAAGACAACCCGGTTGCCCATGAAAGATCGAATGCGATTGTACGCGCACTAGTCAAAAGAAAAAACTCTTGAAAAAATTTGAAACTCTCCTTGAAAAAAAATTCAAGGCCGGGATCGAACCTGCGAGGTCTCCCGCTAGAAATGAAAGCTCTACCACTCGGCCACGGCTGCACCAAATCCGGCCCGCCAGGAGACCACTAAGACTCAAATGATCATATTTCTAGAGCCCTTTTCAAAGCCTTCAGAGAAAATGTGGTCTTAGCGAAGAATTTGGGTCTTAGCGGTCTCCTTGCGGACTCGACCCGGTGCAGTCGTGGCCGGGTGGTAGAGCGCTCGATTCCAGAGCGAGACCTCGCAGGTTCGATCCCGGCTTTTGCTTTTTTCAAGAATAGATTTCATTTTCAGAGCATTTCATAGATTTCATTTTCAGAGTAAGTTTTATAAACTTACACTATAACTCTTAACAGATTGCTATTTAGCAAAAACGGAGTACATATTCGGAATCAGGATAAAATTCTGCGTCGAATGGTCTAAGTTGCAAAGCATTGGCAGTTGATTTTCCCTTTTTTAGTACCGAAATATTTCCATATCGGGAAGTTCAAGCTTTTGAATGGACTTTACCTCAAATTTGACCAGTTCTTGAGTAAAAAAAGGTACCCAGTACCCAGCTCTGTATCTAGGGACTGTAGATTCTAACTGCTAAGCTCTGGCAAAGCTTTTAACTAGACTAAACTAGACTACGAAAACCTGGCTCAACCACGAACTTCATTGTAAAAACTTTCCCGCTCTTTTTTTAATTTCCTCAGATCTTCCATATCCATTTTTTTCTTATTCCATACTCATTTCTTTCTTCTTTTCTTATTTTCTTTCTTCCCCTTCTTTGAACCCAGTCGGTGAACCTTGTCGCTCGAGAGTCAGCCACATTGAGAGCCTATATATGACTCGGGGCGCACCTCTCTTTCTCGGGGCACATCCAAGGCTGGCTGAAGGGGGAGTAAAAAAGGGATGGGCGGTGGCGGGAATGACCCTTGCCTCTTCTTTTCTCAATCCAATCGCAAAGTATGCCAAGGTGCAATCGGCGCAGGAGAGGCGTAGCGCAGCCTGGCACATCCCAGACACTTGGGTCTGTTCAACCACCACACTTTGCAGTCCTCCGGCATTTCGGAAACCAAGTTTTGCGATAGTGCCAAGCTTTGAGGTATCTGTATAGCATTTTAGCTATGGAATCCTTTAGCTAAAGTGTTACTAAAGTGTTGCTGAGTCTTCAAATCTTCTAAGTTTTGTAGCAAATGCTAAATTTTTAAATCCGGCTGACTTTGTTTGTGCATCTAATTTTCAAGTTTTTGATCAGTTTTCAAGCTTTCAAGCTTTCAACTTCAAGCTTTCAAGCTTTCAAGCTTTCAAGCTCTCAAGCTCTCAAGCTTTCAAGCTATTTCTAGTTCAGTGGTCAATTGGATGTCAAATTTTGAAAACATTTAGAAATCTACCATTCAGAATAATGACTAAGAGTTGTATGACTCAAAAGATTAGTTAAAAAACGGTTAGAATCAGTTATTGACCTTTTTGACCCATTCATTGCTTGAATATCTCGATTTTCATTGCATAAGTCAAAGATTATTGTTAAAATTAGAGAAAAGAAACGCACTAAAAAGGCTTTTTCTCATTTAAATGTGAATTGAAATGAAATGAATTGAAATCTGTACCTTTAAATGTAAATTAGATCTGTACATTGGCTTGACTTGACTTGACCTGGATTGGCTTGACTTGACTTGGATTGCCTTGACTTGCTTTGCCTTGACTTGACTTGACTTGGCTTGACTTGACTTGACTTGGATTGCCTTGTCTTGCCTTGCCTTGACTTGACTTACCTTGCCTTGCTTTCCCTTAGCCCTGCCCTGCCTTAGCCCATTTTTGAAGCTTTCCAATCCATTTCGTTCCTTGATTTCTTTATTAAAGCTTTCTCATGTTAAAATCTTCATTATGCCAACTCTTTATCTCAATCCTAATCTCAAATTTTCTAGATGTTGGCCGTCGAAAAACCGCCAACGTTGGACATGCTGGATAATTCTCAATTTCAACTCTCGCAACTCATCGCCGCCGCTCATGCCTCGAATAAATCAATCAAGGTTTACTTTTTAGCTCATTTCAGATTTGAAATTTGAAAAGATTCATATCGAAAACAAAGATTCATATCGACTTTCTAGGACATACACTTCGTGCGCTACAACCCAGAAATGCCGCAGATTGTCACCTCATTCAAGGGCTATCAAAAACTCATGTTCCGCGGTCATCGATACAATATCTATCAAGTGAGGAAAGCTGATACAGCTGATAGCTGATACAGCTGATAGCTGATAAAGCCTATGAAGCAATAGCTATAAAGCTAAAGCTATAAATCAATAGCTATAAGGCAATAGCTATAAAGCAATAGCTATAAAGCAATATCTTCAGCTATATCTTCAGCTATCTCTTCAGCTATATCTAGATAAACCACTGATTTGATCACTATTAAAGTTCTTTATGAGCTCTTTATGAAATCACTTTCCAGGTCCTCCCTGAGCGCAATTTCAAATCGTGGCGTTGCGTTTGTGCAAAGAAAATGAGCGAAACGGGATCATGGTGCAAGTGCAGAGCCGAAACGACGATGGATGACAAAAATGCGGTCACAAAAGGCGAACACAATCATCCGCCAAGACATGTCACTGCTGAGCTTGAGTTCATCAAGGTGAGCATTTGTTTTCGTGAGAAAAATCGTGATCAAATCGTGATCAAATCGTGATCAAATCGAGATTTCGAGCTCAATCCTGTTGTTTTTTAGCAACACTGACTAGGTATTGTATATTAGTTTTGTGTTCTCGATATTCAACGCTTAGGTGATGACAGAGCAAAGGTTTTGATTTGATTTTGATTCTGAAACATTTACTGATATGCTATTTAAATAAAAAATTCAAAAACTTAAAGTTGAATCCCCCTACGGGGGTCGAACCAGGATCGTGTGGGTCACAGACAAAGCGCCCTCCCGATTGCGCCACGGGGACAACGCGGCCCCACCCAAGATATTCAACCCAAAACCCGCTGTCAAGCTGGTTTTTCGGCTGGTATTTAAATATTGGTAGTGACCAGGTGAAAAACCCGTTTAACCACCACCTTTCATCTTGTCGTCGTGGCGCAGTGGGGAGCGAGCTCGTCTACAGCCCAGGGGGGTCCGGGTTCGATCCCCCGGAGTGCCATTCAATTTTGAATTTTGAATTTTTAAATTAAGCATAACAACTACAATATATTCTAAGGTTTTCTAAAGAAGTTTTAACTTTTCTAAAGAACTTGATCAAAACCCGGCCGAGAAAGACGGACAAACAGACAGACAAACGGACATACAGCTCTTTTATACAGTAGCTCAAAATCATGCATTCGAACAGTCACTTGCACTGTCTACAAGTTGATCTCCCCTTCTCAAAACCACAACTACCCGGGTCGTTATTGTCAACTCTGAGTGAATGCCCTTGTAAGCGATCAGATAACGAATCCGTTCGGCTATCGAATAGGGGGGAAAGGAGTGGCAGAAAAGGAACCAAAGAGATTTTGGAGGAAGGATGGAAGAGGTGTCACTTGGGTAGGCATTTGGGTCAGTCTCTCCCCCCAAATACCCCCATTCATCCCAATAGGAAGAGAGTGGGGGGATCAGAGAGAACTCTATGGGGATTGGGGTTGCTTGGGAGTGTCACGATTCTTTGGGGGTTTAAAATGGAAGGAGTTGGATATGTTATCAGTGATGGTTGGATACTGGAGTACCAAGAAATGCCTAATTTGGCATTTTAGCAGATTTTTCCTGAATTTTAGCCTTTATTCTAGCTATTTATATATTTGAAGCGGTGATGAGTCGTCTTAAAATGCCATAAGGTGTGCCAGAAGATGAGCGTTTGTAGCCAGAAGATGTGGCAGAAGATGTGCCAGAAGATATGCTAGAAGATGAGCGTTTGAAGCCAGAAGATATGCCAGAAGATGTGCCAGAAGATGAGCACAAAGTACGGGCCAGAGTTTGTGGATGCTTAGTTCTCTAAGCTTAAGTTCACTGAAATATCTGAAAGCCGAAATACTGAGTTCACGTCAAAACTGCGTTTCTCAATGCAACACAAGGCTTTCCAGGCTCTATAGCTTTGTCTTAAAGGTCTAGAATTGTAACTGTGACACTTTCTGACCTTCTCCCAAGTCAAGGATCTCCAATCTCCCAATCAAGGATCGGATTTACAAAAATTCAAAGTGAACGGATCGGCGCCAAAGCGCTAGCCAAATAGTGCACTTAGGAGCATTCACGCGGATCTCTCAGAGGTTTGGTAAAGGTTGGAAAAAAGATTGGAAAGTGGGGCGAGCCCCGATCTTGTCCCCTTCTTGTCCCCTTCTTGTCCCCAAGCCAAGGCCATACCCCGAACGAGGGCAGCGCTGCGGTGGAGAAAAGAGGTTGAGAGATGGCACTGACCGGCGCGAGATCATCCCGCATCCCTGAGCAGAACTGTGTGACGAAAAGGGGCATTGCACAGGCAAGGACATTCAACCCTACATGGAAGATTGGGGGATTTTTATCTGGCATTAGGGTTTGGTTTGGTTTGGTTTGGTATTGAACATTGAACACAACAAAAATCGCTCTTTAAAACTTGAGCTCAGTTGTTATCTTGTAAACGCATGGCTTTTGGCAGACTAGATTAGCAATTTATGGGTTAAAATGGATCATAATGCCTGAAAGGAACTTATAGCGTGTGCTAGAGGATCTGCTTTTGTACTAGCACAAAGTACGGAGAGATTTAAAGTGCTAATGGGTTGGATTTTGAAAAACGATAAAGGAAATGCTTTTAAATAAATAAATAAATAAATAAATAGATAGATAAATAGATAAATAAACAAACAAATAAAGAAAATAGATAGATATATGTGTTTTAGGGTTCTTTAATGATACAGAAACAGCTTTGCAGTGAACCTAGGACCGTCCGATCTCTAGGCTCAAAGAGTCGAACCGAATCAACTACGCAAGCTTGTAAATATCGTAGCTTCTACGTGGAAAACTGATGCCAACAGATAGCAAATTGAAAAATTCAATTCTACAAAAAAAGCAGAAAAATTTGCAACCAAGCGGACTCGAACCCGGATCGTTTGACTTGGAGCCAAGCTCACTAACCACTCGGCCACCAGTATTTTAGCTTATTTTTAAAAACTAAGATTTTCAATGGGTTACGTGATATCCAGATCATACGAATAACCTGTTGTTTCTTAGAAATTTTCAGCTTTTTCTCGGTTTTAAGCCTTGATTCGAAAAAAAAACGAAAAAAAACGCCTAAATCAATTTAAATAAATAAATGAATCGATAAATCGATAAATAAATAGAAAAATAGATAGAAAAATAGATAAATAAACAAACAAATAAAGAAAATAAGCTAATTTCCTTGAGCAATCAACTTCTACCATCCAAATTTCAGTCTCAACTCTACATGGCCGCTCTGGAGAACCCACAAATCGATGTCGGTGATCTGGTGAATGAAGCAAGCAACTATCTATCTGAAGGAGTTCATTTTGACAATAAAGAGGGACTAAAGAAGAGCTTGAATCTGGCCAGGAGTCGAGTGGGAAAGCCGAAGAAGCCAAGGAATCGACAAATGATGGGAAGTGTCGGTCAGAAACGGAAACTCCCCGGCAGTGATGATGGTGAATGCGATGAAGATGACTGGAGTGCTGGAGTGCCGATGGGAATGAGTGCACAGGAAACGGCGATCATTCACAATGTTTTAAATCTCAAGATGCCAAAGGTTTGTTGTAGAGACTTTGATAAAGAATTTGGCTTTACTGGCTTTACTAAAGAATTACTAAACTTGGCTTTCTCTAAAGAATTCCTAAAGACTTCATCGTTTATTTTAACCAGGCACAAGAACCTCAAGCAAGAACGGTACAAGAACAAGAGTTGTACAAGAACAATAACTGTACAAGTACAAGAACTGTACAAGTACAAGAACTGTACAAGAACAAGAACTGTACAAGTACAAGAACTGTACAAGAACTGTACAAGGACTGTACAAGAATTGTACAAGTACAAGAACTGTACAAGTACAAGAACTGTACAAGTACAAGAACTGTCCAAGAACAAGAACTGTCCAAGAACAAGAACTGTACAAGAACTGTACAAGAACTTTTGAACTAAATCTGCTTGAGAAGTTTCATAGCTTCTTGGCTTTAGCCTTCTTGGCTTTAGCCTTCTTGGCTTTAGCCTTCTTGGCTTTAGCCTTCTTGGCTTTGGCCTTCTTGGCTTTGGCCTTCTTGGCTTTGGCCTTCTTGGCTTTAGCCTTCTTGGCTTTGGCCTTCTTGGCTTTGGCCTTCTTGGCTTTGGCCTTCTTGGCTTTGGCCTTCTTGGCCAAATATTCTAATTTGGAACACTTTAGCAAGTTCAAGCACTCGACTTTACCGTACCTTTCATTTACAATTCAATTGCAGCCCGAAAACCCAGTGATGAGGTTGACATCTCCACTCTTCGAGGCAACGAATCCATTGTCGATGGTGAAAGTCGAGTCCCCATTTCGACAGAAGCCACCGACGATCGTTCCACCGCGAAAGCAACCCTCACCACAGACACAATTCATCCATCAAGAGACTCCATTGTTCCCAAACAATAATCCAATGTACGTTTTTTTAAAGTAGCTTTAGTTTTAGCTTTAGCTTTAGCTGTAGCTTTAGCTTTAGCTTTTGATTCTTTTAAGGAAATCAACTGGGTAACTAAAGAAGCAAGCTTTGATTTAGTCTAGCTAGCTTTGATTTAGCTTTGATCTGGCTAGCTTTGATCTAGCTTTGATCTAGCTAGCTTTGATCTAGCTTTGATCTAGCTAGCTTTGATCTAGCTCCAGCTAGAATCTATAGTTTACCAGCTTTGACTTAATTTATCCAGAAATCTAGAAGTTAGTCGAAAAATTGCCATTTTAAAAACTAAAACTTGGCTGAGCTACTTAGCTTTGGTTTAAGACGTTGGTGGTTAGAGTTGGTTAGACGAATCGATCTAGAATCTACTCCAGCTAGAATCGATCTTGCTGTTGCCTTGTTGTTAGTCTTATAGTCTTATGTTAGCCTTTCCCAATTCGAAAATTTGATATCAACAATTCCATCTATCAATTTTGATCAATAGCCCTGATTTAAAGCCTCAAAAGCCTCAAAATTCTAGCCTCGGCACTGATGCAACTGCTTTGTACATGATGTACGCGCAGTTGGCCGCTACAAACAAAATGGACACCGGATTGGATTGGCTTGCGGCTGTGCAACAATTGAATGCCCTAGCAATGCAGAAAGATCTCAAGGTAAATTTGAAATGATCAAAAACGCATAAGAAAAATCTTAGCTTTTACAGGAGATGATGACACCGAAGAATTCGCCGAAACAAACCCCATTGATGGCTGAAACAATGCCAACATCACCGTCCGTCGTTCACCACACTGTGGCCACACCAAGTCCGTCTGCTTCAACGACAAGCACGAGTTCAATGGTGTCACGCGAGATCTCAACGCAGGTAGATTTCAGTAATTTGTACACGAATAATATAGTATAAACAATACACAAGCAGCTCTAAGCCTTAAATGTAATTTAGCCGGAAATCTAGCCGGAAATCTAGCAGGAAAATATAATCTACCCGGTGGGATTGAACCCATGGCCTCTCGACTAGCTCCTGACTAAGATCCAAGGCTCCTAAAGGATTGAACCCCTCTCAACTAGCTCCTGACTAAGATACAAGGCTCCTGAAGGCCTCTCGACTAGCTCCTGACAGATACAAGGCTCTTAGCATGACTAAGATACAAGTAAGGTAAATTTTTGGAACAAAAAGCAAAAGATTTGGCGGTAAGGGGAATCGAACCCTTGACCTTTCTCTTCCGTTCGTTTGAGAAACGTGCGTGTTAACCATTCGGCCATGCCCCTTTAGCTGCTCGTTAACTGACCATGCTTGTTAACCACTCGGCTCGTTAACCGGCTAGGCTTGTTAAGCACTCGGCCTTTCTCGCTGACCACTCTGCTCTGCTGGCGCAGTACGAGCGCGTTTGTCTCTAGGCCACGCGACGGACACGGGTTCGACTCCCGTCCGTGTCATTAATTTAAATTTAAATAGATGCTGCACAACTACATGGAATTCTAAGCCAAACTAACTATAAGTCATTTGAAACGGTTCACTAGGCGCTGAGAAGTGCGCACAGACAAACAGACAGCCAGACAGACAAACAGACAGACAGACAGACAAACAGACAGACAGACAAATAGATCTTTTACATATAGTAGATTTGCATATATCGTAGATTTACAATCAATTTCCAGACAGACGACGTGATCGAGCTGGGCAAATGCATCTCGACGCCGGGTTGCGGTTGTCGAATCGTGCGCGTGTGCTGTTGCCGCGAGGGCCAATGCTCGAGTCGACCGACTCAGCTTTGAGCTTTCTCTATCGGATAATACAATAATCTACAGTGATTCTCTCGTCTAACACCACTACTTGATCCCATTGTTACTTCCCATTGATCCCTTTTTTCCCAATCGTTCTCCCATTTTCTTTGATTTGTGCAATTCAATTCAATTCAATTCAATTCAAATCAATTCAATTCAATTCAATTCAATTCAATTCAATTCTTCAATTTAATTCAATTCTTCAATTCAATTCACAATCCAACTCAAATCCAACTCAAATCCAACTCAAATCCAACTCAAGCCCTTAGGGCCACTGGTAACTGCTGTGCAGTTTTTAATGCAATCAATCCTTACCCTACTTTTGCCTTTACCTTTATTTGATTCTAAAATGCATTTGCATTCACTTTTTTTAAAAATTTGTGCCTTATCGTTTAATCTTTGGTATATTTGGTGCTTAAAAATATCAAAAGAAGTGTCTTGAAAAAGAATTTTGAAATTTGATTCTTTATATTTGTTCTTGAACTCTGAAAAAGAGAATTCTGAATCAAAAACAAAAAAAATGAAGATCTTTTCCTGTGATACTGAGCGATTATTTGTGATTTGCTTTTGTCTTTTTTCAGATTTTATGTCTTTTTTTTAAAATGTGCAGTATTTTTGATAGTCAAATCTTTGTGTTTTTTTTGTGTCAAAGAGCGATCGAATTTGGGAGAGCTTAACTAAAAGACTTTTTGTCAACGGGGAAACTACTTCCCATAGCCGGGTGGGTAGCGCTTTTGGTTAGCGCTTAGCGCCGGGTGGTTAGCGCTTACCATTCAGAGATTCAGAATTCAGAAAATTTTCTGCCATTCAGTGCCAACGATGATTCAAATCCCGGCTAATTCAGAATTCGGTTTTTTTGCTAAATCTCAACTTCGATCGTTCCCTTTCCCATTTCTCCGTTCCCTTTCCCAAATTTTCCCACACTTTGCACAGGGCTTTCGATATCGAATTGAACTCGAATATTTATTCATCATTTATTTCTTTTTTTTGTACCTAGCGGGTTGTTGGTGTGTGAAAAATTGTCTTCTCCTTCTTTATTCTACCGAAAAGATGTTCTCTGCAATATTTCTTCATCCCACATTTGATCTATGGCCAAAGTGATTGGTCGTTTAATAAATGTTTTGAAATGAAAAGTGATTAAGGAAATGAAATGCAGAAATGTTTGTTGAAAAGCTTGCAGAAAGCTTGCAGAAAAGCTTAACAACAAAAGAAACACTTCAAAGAGTTAAACAGTTTGAAAATTGATGATCCAAAAGATTTATGTTTCTCCTAAGCCTCAGTTTAAGCCCAAGCCTAAGCCACGAAATTGTTTGACTTTCTTTGACTTGCACACTGACAAACAACACTGACAAGATTTGAGCAAAATCTTAGATCGAATCAGCCTACAGCTTTGGCCAACCAGTCAGCCAACCAGCCAGCCAGCCAGCCAGCCAGCCAGCCAGCCAGCCAACCAACCAGCCAGCCAGCCAGCCAACCAACCAGCCAGCCAACCAGCCAGCCAGCCAGCCAGCCAGCCAACCAACCAGCCAGCCAACCAGCCAGCCAGCCAGCCAGCCAACCAACCAGCCAGCCAGCCAGCCAACCAACCAGCCAGCCAACCAGCCAGCCAGCCAGCCAGCCAACCAACCAGCCAGCCAGCCAGCCAACCAACCAGCCAGCCAACCAGCCAGCCAGCCAGCCAGCCAACCAACCAGCCAGCCAGCCAGCCAACCAACCAGCCAGCCAACCAGCCAGCCAGCCAGCCAGCCAACCAACCAGCCAGCCAGCCAGCCAACCAACCAACCAGCCAGCCAACCAGCCAGCCAGCCAGCCAGCCAGCCAACCAACCAGCCAGCCAACCAGCCAGCCAGCCAGCCAGCCAACCAACCAGCCAGCCAACCAGCCAGCCAGCCAGCCAGCCAACCAACCAGCCAGCCAGCCAGCCAACCAACCAGCCAGCCAGTGCCGTGAAATTCTGCATCGAATGGTCTGGGTTTTGACTCAAATACACCTTAAATTGGTGCATTTTCCTTGTAGGCCGATAGGAAGAGTCGAATTTCAGATTTTTACTAAATAAAAGTTCATTTTTAGAAAAATCTACAAGACGGATTTTTCTGAAACTGTTATTTTTAGAAAAAGCGCATTTTTTTGGGGAGCACATTTTCATGCAATGACGAATCGTAAGGTCTTTTGTCTAAATGCTCATGCTGTTTTCACATCTGTTTTCGATTCATTTCCACACGAAATAGACATCTTTTTTACAAACGTCTTAGATTTTTTTGTAAACATTTTCTTAAAAGTTTTTGTTGTAATAATTTTTTTAAATTTAGGATGGCGGTGACTTCCTACGGTGATTTGTGTCAATTCGATGAGAAGATGGCTACTTTATTCCTCCATCACAACGTTCTTTCTCCAGATCTCCAAAAGTTGCTTCCAAAGACACACTACAAGTAACTAAAAGGAATTTTCCAATGGGAAGCTTGTTTCCGGAGCTGCAAGTGCTCCGGAAACAAGGCGAAATCTAAGGGATCAACAAAAGGACTGTCTATTGGTTTCTGTCAATTCGATGAGAAGATGGCAATTTTATTCCTCCATCACAACGTTCTTTCTCCAGACCTCCAAAGCTTCCAAAGACACACTTGTAGTGATTATTGTTGGTTTAGATATCATCTCTCTTACAGCAATAATAGTTGGTTCAGTGGTTTGGGATTGTGAGAGTAGAGACGACTCGACGGCACTGCTCGGCAGCTCGTTCACATTGCTTTTATACAAAACTTTGGCGTTGGTCTCATCTTACACACAATGGAGTTGAACGAATAGCGACGCAGATTAAATCTCGCACAATAGGCGTTCGCCCGTTTTGTCGTCCGCCCACAAAGGTGTCTGGCTGGCCATTTCCATCCGTGGTGATCTCGATCACGAGATCGTCACGACAATACTGCAAGTAATTAATTGAAAGTATTGTTTTACTTTAATTCTTTAATTAAAATTACTTCAATTCTTTTAAATTCATTTTTTTAAAGTATTGTTTTTTTAATTTTGTGTTGAAATGAGAAAGCAATCTATTTCCATTTTGGAGCCGAGTGAAGAATCTGGAACTTTTCGATAAGACGATCACAATGAAGGCCAAAGCCAATGAAGGCCAAAGCCAATGAAGGCCAAAGCCAATGAAGGCCAAAGCCAATGAAGGCCAAAGCCAATGAAGGCCAAAGCCAATGAAGGCCAAAGCCAATGAAGGCCAAAGCCAATGAAGGCCAAAGCCAATGAAGGCCAAAGCCAATGAAGGCCAAAGCCAATGAAGGCCAAAACTAACTGTAAAATGGCTTGGGGAGTTGAATGGAAACAACGGAAGCAAAACTCATCTTCTGAACCGTCACAAAACGTCATAAACTTTCTCTCTACATCTCGATTTTCCCTTGTCGATGATCGCAACATCTCGTAAACAAATCTCAACTAAATCTTAAACCTACACGACAACTTGATCGAAATGTATACGAGGAAAGAATGCTCATGGATTTTGACGAGTTGTTACAAAAAAAAAAACTCAGCTAAAGCTCAAGAAAAAGCTGGTGTATTTCACAAAGATGTTGCGGTCGATAGAGCCTTGCGCCATGCTCGATTTAGCCATGCTGCGTTCCACCGATGCACATTAAGCTTGGATTTGTGAGTGAAAATGTCAGTGAGAAAGAATGCATTTTTACACGATTTCGCGCGTGCATTGCCAAATGGAATTTTTTTGAAAAAAGCCAAATCAAAACCAAGAAACAAATCCAATGTGAATCTAGAGAATGAAAATCCTGGAGCTATTTCAAGCACCAATTGTCCCTCAAATCAAACCAAGACTGACCTAAAGACAAAAAAAGTTTTATCTAACTATTGGATAATCTCTATAAATTGATTCTTTTCCTTTCTTTTGCTCTATGATTTTACAGTTTTAAACCTGTACGGTTTTAGACTTCGTGAATCGTCTCTCCATTTCGAGTGGAAAGGATTCTAAAGTCTAAAGTGAGGCTCAAAAGGTACACAAAACGACCGCAATTCATTCCAGGGATTCCTCTATTCCCCGGCCACCACTGCTTCCTAAGATCTTTGGGGAAATCTGCTTATAAACTCGGGGCGTCTTTTCGAAATTCTACTTCAAATAACTAAAATAACTCAATACAAAACTTTACATGCTGATAACTGTTGACAGAGTGCTCCGTTGCAAAAACTGAAGCCAGATTCGGAATCAGCGTGAAATTCTGCATCGAATGGTTTATGGCTTAGCTCATTTGACTGATCTCATCAACAATAAGACGACTTTAAAACATGAATGGGATATTTCATTCACGAATGGTTAGAGTTTTGACATAAATACATCTTAAATTGGTGCACTTTCCTTGTAGGCTCTGAATGAATATCCTGAAGCTGTTTCAAGCACCAATTTTCCTTCAAATCAAACCATGACTGGGCCTAAAGACAAAGAAAGTTTTATCTAAGTATTGGATAACATCGATAAATTGATTCGTTTCCTTCCTTTTGCTTCCTTTTGCTTCCTTTTGCTTCCTTTTCCTTCCTTTTTGCTGTACGGTTTTAAACTTCGTGGATCGTTTCTTCATTTCGAGTGAAAACGATTCGAAAGTGAGGGTCAAAAGGTACACAAAACGATCGCAATCCATTCAAGGGATTCCCCCATTTATTTCAAGGGTCATTGAGGGTCAATTCTTTGAATCCCTTTTCTGTATCCTATCAACTGATCCAAGGAGAAAAATGGGGACAATCACAAACAAATATTTGCCTAATCTCCTCTGAATCTTTTCTTCTCTTTTCTTCTTTCAAACAAGAGCTTCCAATATCAAAAAGAGTGATACGGATTTCATTTGGTTCACTTTCTGTTATTCTTGATCATTTTCTAGATCAACATTTTCTAGAGAAAAGGTTTTTATTGAGTTTTTCTTAGGTTTTTGACTCGTTTCGATATTTTTACAATTGCTTTGGAAGTTCTTAGCAATGAATTTGAACGACGAATGGCTAAAAGAGCCTTTATCAACAGTTTAGAAAGTTTTTAGCAATTATCCCAACTATTTTATCTGTTTAGATCTTATGGTATTTATGGTCTTGTAGGACACACGGCTTGTTGAATCTTTCTCCCAAGCAATAAAAGTCAAAGATTTCATTTTACTTGGTATTTTTTTAAGGTACTAGATGGTGATATTCCTACTAGCGGAAAACGCTCAATAACGATCGCGTTTTCCATCGGCGAGGTCCACGTTTTCCTCGCACTCTAAGCCTCGCCCCTTTTTGCCAATGGATGCGCACATACGGACAGACGAACAGATGGACAGATGGACAGACGGACAGACCGAGAGACGAACAGACAAACAGACGAATAGGCGAACAGACGAACAGACGAGCAGACAGATAGAGGGACGGACGGACAGACGAAGAGAAGGACAGACGAACAGACGGACAGACGAGCAGACGGATAGACGGACGGACGGACAGACAAACAGACGAGCAGACGGATAGACGGACAGACAGACAGACGGACAGAAGGACAGACGAACCAACGGACAGACGAACAGACGGACAGACGAACAGACGAGCAGACGGATAGACAGACAGACGGACAGAAGAACAGACGAACAGACGAACAGACGGACAGACGAGCAGACGGATAGACGGACAGACGGACAGAAGGACAGACGAACAGACGGACAGACGAACAGACGAGCAGACGGATAGGCGGACAGACGGACAGAAGAACAGACGAACAGACGGACAGACGAGCAGACGGACAGACAGACAGACGGACAGAAGGACAGACGAACCAACGGACAGACGAACAGACGGACAGACGAACAGACGAGCAGACGGATAGGCGGACAGCCGGACAGAAGAACAGACGAACAGAGGGACAGACGAGCAGGCGGATAGGCGGACAGACGGACAGAAGAACAGACGGACAGACGAACAGACGAGCAGACGGACAGACGGATAGACGGACGGACGGACAGACGAGGAGACGGACAGACCGCCAGACGTCTCTTCTACTTTATATATAATAGATTGAGTCAAGTCGGCTATTTCCCCCAATAGGGAATTCATGCTTTTCCCTGCTGTTAATTTTTAAAAATGTAAATTTGGGGGACATAACTTATTCAATTGGTGATAAGTATTTTTTTTAAATTTTCATTTTCATTTTCAAGTATTGTTTTTAAATTTCCAGATGTGGTTATATCTTTTATCTATATTTTCTCTATGCATTCCTTGCCAAGCCTGGTTCTACAACCGAGATGATCCAGATGCGTGGACGAAAGGCGGCGTTTTCCCATTGCCAACACAATTGAATTATGGATCGGTTTGTTTTGAATATGAAAAAAATACATTCCTTTCATTGAAAAGTATCTAAAAACGGTTGGCCCTTAAGGGCCGGGCATTACGATTGGCTTTTAAGGGCCCGGGCTTGTTTTCTAAACTAATCATCTTTCAAAAACTACCGCAATTTTAGTTTTTTTGCTTCTAGTTTATTGGAGTTAGCGATTTTTAGATCTTTTAGTTACTAAAGAATCCAATAAAGCTTGAGTTTCGGTCGTTTTGAGAAAGTTTACACGTTTTAGAAAACGTATTACACCAGAAAACATGTTCATTTTGTTAAACTGGATCAGAATAGTTGTTTTGTTCGGCGAGACTAGGGAAAACTCACTCATAAATCCTCAGATTAGTCAAATATTGGTCAATTCAATTCTGATGATCAATTCATTCCAGGAGAACATCACCATTTCACCCAAACGAATCCTAATCCAAGCCGGTGATCACGAGGAGTGCGACATTGTAGCGAAAAGTGTCGAAACTTACAGTAATCGAGATTTACAGTAATTACAGTAAACCTGAGCCGTTAAAAGTCCGACTTTTGAGCTCATCGAGAGCATCGAGAGCATCGAGAGCTCATCGAGAGCATCTAAAGCATCTAGAGAGCATCTAGAGAGCATCTAGAGCATCGAGAGCATCTAGAGAGCATCTAGAGAGCATCTAGAGAGCATCTAGAGCATCTAGAGAGCATCTAGAGCATCTAGAGAGCATCTAGAGCATCTAGAGAGCATCTAGAGAGCATCTAGAGAGCATCTAGAGAGCATCGAGAGCATCGAGAGCATCTAGAGAGCATCTAGAGCATCTAGAGAGCATCTAGAGCATCTAGAGAGCATCTAGAGCATCTAGAGAGCATCTAGAGCATCTAGAGAGCACCTAGAGCATCTAGAGAGCAGCTAGAGCATCTAGAGAGCATCTAGAGCATCTAGAGCTCATCGTTTAATTTCTAGTCAAAAAGTGGATGTTCCCGTTCCCAGTCGAGCCTCGAACCGACTTCAACGAGTTCGGTGTTCAAGTACAGATCGAAGAGAAATGTCCGATTGGAGTCCCGCCAGATGATATGGTTGAATCGTGTAAGTTTTTGAAACTCTAAAATAAGCTAAACTTCATAAAAAGATTGAGAAACTTTATCTATACCTAAGACTTTTTTTTCAGATAACTTATCCGTAACTAAAGACGGCGCTGTGCTGAAAGCGAAACAAGTTTGGGGCTTTTTGCGGGGTCTCGAAACACTCTCGCAGCTCATTTTCTATGATGAGCCAAGCAATTCGGTAAGAGATTGAAAAATCGAATCAAAGATCCCGTAAAAACTCTAATAGAACGGTCATCTCTAGAGGAGCGTCGCGTAGTCTAGATCTGCACTCAATCAAACGCTAATATCTCGACATCAGTACGTTTGTTTCTAAGAGCTTTGGTATCAAATTAAAGTAGAGAAAATGGGTGATCTTTTGAGATATAAAACAAATTTTTAGCATTAACCAGCGCTTAGAAAAAAGTGATTGAAAAGTGGTAAAAAAAAGGGTCGATTTTCGTCGATTTTCGTCGATTTCAATCACTTTTTTCTAAGCGCTCGTTAATGCTAAAAATATGTGTTATATCTCAAAAGATCACCCATTTTCTCTACTTTAATTTGATATTAAAGCCCTTAGAAACAAACGTACTGATGACGAGATATGAGCGTTTGTTTGAGTCTAAACTTAAACTACGCAAACTAGGTAAACTTAGTAAATTTAAACTTAGTAAATTTAGACTAAAATCCAACTTAACTTAGACTATACAGGACTCTTTTATTAGAATACTAGAAGCTTCGCAGGAAAAAAATTTTTGGAGCAAAAAGTAAAAGAGGAGAGGAGAGGAATCGAACCCGCGACCGAGTCTCTTCCGTTCGTTTGAAAGACGCGCGCGTTAACCACTCGGCCATGCTATTTTATGACCTCGTTGACCGGTCATGCTAGTTAACCACTCGGCCATGCTCGTTGACCGCTCGTTAGCGTTGACTGCTCATTGGCACCAGGCTTGTTAACTACTTGGCCGTACTCGGCGACCGGCCGGCCCTGCTGGCGCAGTGCGAGCGCCCCTGTCTCTAGCCCACACGATCCGGGTTCGACTCCCGCCCGTGTCGGCACTTTTGGTTTTTTAAGAATCTCAAAAACATGTTGCAGAACTACATGAAATTCTAAGTCAAACTAACAATAAATCATTTGAAACGGTATACTGGGCGCGGAGTAGTGCGCGGAGAGAGACAGACGTTTTAGTCCCGTTATATATAGTAGATTTACAGTCTTCTTGCTTTAGTACCTCGTTCGAACTGCAGACATCATCGACAATCCTCGTTTCCAAGTGAGAGGCTTGCTTCTCGACACGTCAAGGCATTTCGTTCCGACAAAAATCTTGCAAAGACAGCTTGTGAGTTCTTTGGATAAACAAAAGAACCTTAAGAATGCATGAACGAAATTTTAAAGCCAAAGCAACTCCAAAGCAACAATAAATTATTTGAAACGGTCTACTGAACGCGGAGTAGTGCGCGGAGTAGTGCGTGGAGTAGTGCGCGGAGTGGTGCGCGGAGTAGTGCGTGGAGTAGTGCGCGGAGTAGTGCGCGGAGTAGTGCGCGGAGTAGTGCGTGGAGTAGTGCATGGAGTAGTGCGTGGAGTAGTGCGTGGAGTAGTGCGTGGAGTAGTGCGCAGAGTAGTGCGCAGAGTAGTGCGCGGAGTCCAAAGCAATCCAAAGCAACTCAAAATTTTCTTAGAGAACTTTATCATAAATCCAAGAGGAAAGAAATTCAAACATTTAAAAATCAAAAAACTTGTCAGCAAGTGGATTGGATTCTCCAAAAAGAAATCCCAAAAAAGAGTAATCTCTTCGAATGGCAAGTGTTTTAAATTTGAAACCATATCGGCTAGGTTTCAAATTCAAATTCATTCAATTCAAATTGTTCAGTAACAAGAAACGACAATAGGTTTACTGTTTGAAAACTCTTTGGCTAGCTTTAGCTTTCAGTTTCAAAGATTCAAAGCTCTAGTTTCAAAGATTTTCGGCTACGACAAATAACTTGAGAATGCATCAACGAAATTTCAAAGCCAAAGCAACTTAAAGCCTTAAAAAAGCAACTTAAAGCTTTAAAGCCAAAGCAACTTAAAATTTTCTTGACTTGAACGATAACTTGAACTATTACCCTTTCCAGGATCTCATGGCTCAAAACAAGCTCAACGTTCTCCATTGGCACATCGTTGATAGCGAATCTTTCCCCTATCAATCAACCAAGTTTCCGGAATTGACAAAAGTGGTGAGACTTTCAGAAGTTTCAATTCTAAAAAATGCAAAATCAGGGTGCCTACTCGAAAAGACATATCTACACAAAAGAAGATATTAAATCGGTGATCGATTACGCGAGGATTCGAGGGATTCGAGTGATGCCCGAGTTTGATTCTCCAGGTGATTTAGAAGATTCAAAAGAGTTAGAAGGAGATAAAAATCCATATTACCAAAGCATTTTGCAAGAGAAAGGGGCTTCAAAGGAGCTTCAAAGAATTTGTTCGAAGTATTTTGGCTACGCTGCTGCTGGCTACGCTGCTGCTGGCTACGCTGCTGCTGGCTACGCCGCTGCTGGCTACGCTGCTGCTGGCTACGCCGCTGCTGGCTATGCTGCTGCTGGCTGCGCTGCGCTGCTCCTTGATCCATGATAGAATTGCTTCTTCTAAAGTTTCGTCATTCGCTACACGTGCTCTTTTGATTGTTGGCGATAAAATCAAAGCTTCTTCTATCAAGGACGAGAAAAGCCAGCTCTGGACCTGAATCGAGTTCCAACTCAGAGTCAGACCTGAGCCTGTATGCTACGCGAAAAGTTCCGGCGGTGTCTCTGATCTGATCTCTCTGATCTTTAAGGCGGCACCTTTGATCTTTCCGGTAAAACGTCCCTAGTTTTCCAGCGGAACGTACTTTTCTTCCAGAAAGTTTCTGGTAAAACTTTCCAAGGAAAAGTACGAGAAAACTCTAGACGTTTTACTGGAAAGATCAAAAGTACCGCCTTAAAGATCAGAGAGATCAGATCAGAGAGATCAGATCAGAGAGATCAGATCAGAGAGATCAGATCAAAGAGATCAGATCAAAGAGATCAGATCAGAGAAATCAGATCAGAGAAATCAGATCAGAGACGCCGCCGGAACTTTTCGAGTAGCATACGGGCTCAGGTCTGACTCTGAGTTGGAATTGGATTCAGTCCTAGTCTGGTTTTGTTTAAAAATTTCAAAGATCTGGTTGGAACCCGATTGAAACCTTCCTAGCTACACAGATTGAGACATTCCTAGCTACAGAGAGTTCTTGAAAACATTCATTGATCATTAATTCGCTTTGTGCCAAAATCGCGGCCTTCTTCAATCCGTACTTAGCTTCAATTTCATCATTCGTATATTTTCCTTCTCGTTTATCCTCGATAAGTTGAGCATTTTGGCGAAAGAGAGAGAATTATTCGTTTGCTCATCGCCATCTATTATATAAAAAACAGAAGAAACGTCCGTCTGTCTGTCTGTGCGCAAACGTGAAGCTCCGTAATTACGTTTGCTCTATTGGCTAACACACAAAGTATTCAGCAGACAAATATTTTGCTCCCAGGGTTTTCGGCTATGCCGAATCTGACTTTTAGGCCCATTTTTAAAAAGATGGCGAGGTTTAACGGTTAAAGATGGCGAGGTTACGGTAGTTTTAGCCATTTGAATGAGTTTTCCTTTCCAATGGAAAACGCGAACGAAGTTTTCCGCTGGTTTCTAAAATAAGACAATAATAAAGTCTACAAAAGTATTCTTATTTCAATTGTTAAACAGTATTGCTAACTAGTTAACAATACTAGACACAATACTAGTTAACAATGTTAACTAGTTAACAATACAAGAACTTTGTTCATTTTTGTTTACTACAATACTTATTCTACTGATAAGTTTTGAAATAAAGCTTTTGTGAATTACCGTAATCCTGTCAATTACCGTAATGAGTTTCCGTCTTTTCCAAAGACGACTTTTCAGTGCTTTTCCATTTCCATTTCAAAAGACGACTTTTCAGTGCTGTAAAATCACATTGTATTCACGTTTTAGAAAAAAACAAACGTTTATTTGCTCGTTTGCTAGAATGCATTTGGTGACCTGATGGCACATTTCTAATAAATACTTTAGTGCTATTTAGAAACGATAGCTAGTACGATAGTTAGTACGAAAATTCAATTCCCTTTGCTACTCCCAACTTTTGAAGACCGAGAAGCGGACAGACCGAGAAGCGGACAGGCGGACAGACCAAGAGACAAACAGACGAACAGACAAACAGGCGAACAGACAAACAGGCGAACAGGCGGACAGACAAACAGGCGAACAGACAAACAGGCGAACAGGCGGACAGACAAACAGGCGAACAGACCAACAGACAAACAGGCGAACAGGCGGACAGACAAACAGGCGAACAGACCAACAGACGAACAGACGAAGAGACCAACGGACGGACAGACGGACAGACGTCTCTTCTACTTTATATATAGTAAATAAGGTGTAGCAAAAGATGCAAAAGATGCAAAAGATCAAAATCAAATCAAAAAAGAATCAAATCTAGAGACTGAATAAGCGAGCTAAACTAGAGCAAGGTTACAATAGTTTCAACAAGTTAACGAGTTTTAGAAAACGACTTGGTAACACATTTCAATTACACGAATAAGAAAAAAATGAGTCTTTAAACTATGCAGAGTTTCAAAGTTGAAAATTCGATGAATCATTTTGCAATTTCAGGTCACATGGGTGCATGGCGCGGTGTAAAAGATCTCCTGACTGATTGTTTCGATGAAAATGGAGTCAGCACAAATCTCCCGAATCTCATCGACCCATCTGAAGAAAAGAATTTCGAGTTTTTGAGTCAATTTTTCAAGGTAGAGCTTGAAATTGAAATGAAATTGAATTGAAATTGAATTGAAATTGAATTGGAATCAATTCTAAAAGACAATTCTTTGACCAGACATTGATAAACCAGAAATTGAAATGAAATTGAAATGAAATTGAAATGAAATTCAAATCAAATCAATTCTAAAAAACAATTCTTTGTTATAAACCAATAGCAATTGAAAGTACACAAAAAAAAAACTGGGAATTGAAAGATTTAGGAAGTGGCCGACGATTTCCCGGACGCTTACATTCATCTCGGCGGCGACGAACCGGAGTTCTGGCTTGCGGAATGCTGGTGAGAATTTTGACCGCTGCGAACGAGTTGGTTTTCTCGAAAAAAAGGAAGATCATATATTTTAGAATATTTACAATTAAGTTACTGTGAATTTCCTCAAAACCATCACCATCAAAAGCATCGAAACCGATCTCCAAGTTTTGCCATCAAGTTTTGCCATTTGCCGTTTTTCCATTTGCCAGTTTTGCCACTTCGAATCTTATCTAGTATATATATACTTTATCCGACAAGGAAAAGTGACAATGCAAACAGATTGAACAGCGTAGACGAAGAAAGATAATTGATATACAAACACAACTACAATTAGACACGTGTATATATGACATTAAAAACTAATTTAAAATTGACAGAGCTACAAGATCGAGCTTATATATTGAGGATTTAAAATAGTTCAGAGACGAAAAAATATCACAAGGTAACTTATTCCAAATACGAGGAACACGACAAGCAAAAGAATGATACAGTTGGCGGTTATGAAAGCTTTGAAAGGGGGTAATCTGAAAGTTGTGACTACGAGTTCTTCTGGCGTGATTCGAAATCTTTGGTCGAGAGCGGAATGTGTTCAATCAGCAATTTGTGCATCGTATCAGTGAGGAGGGCGTAGCACACGTTGATATCCGTGTCGAATCGAGGCCTCAAACTTGGGTAATTAAACCTGGGTATCTGAAAGTTTAGAGCAATTAAATCCAAATTCCATTGAAGAAAATTGAATAAAAGATTAGTAGATTGAATAAAATAAATAGCTCAAATCGATTGCCCGATCGCGAAAACCATTTCCAATTTTTCGACTCAATAGCTTCTTTTTGGACTGGAAATCGTATGTTAATGACTGGCGAGGTGTTCTTTGTGCGTAGTCGCTCGCGATCTGGCAAAACTGGCTGGCAAAAGAGGCTTCCTTTTCGCAACTCCTAAAGCTTTTGCGAGACTGGGCGCAGGCCTCGTGGCATATCCGGTGTAGACATCGAAGAATTCCAACGCGACCCCAATTCCACCCTCAATCTCGCGACCCCAATTCTGTGCTCAAACTGTCACATATGACAATAGCACGCAGTTTTCAATTCACCAACCCAATACATAGCTAGTGGCTCAGTGGATAGTGTGCTCGCCTTTAGAATCTTCAAGCTTCGGGCTCGGGTTCGAGTTCACTCCCGGTAGATTCTTTTTGCTTTTTTTGAGAAAATGTTTAGAGAATTCGCATTGAATTCTACGATTTTGGTGAAATCCAATTCAATTCCATTCCGCGTATCGAATTCCACTCTTTTTGGCATAAGCAATTCATGAAATCGTGAACAATTTTCCATCAACAACAAACCAAATCAATTAACAAAGCAACAAAGCATCCTAAATCATTTCTTAAACATTCTTTCATCAATCAAAATCAAAAACAATCAAAATCAATCAAAAATCAATTAAAATAGATCAATCCTGATGCCATAAACATTTTCAAATTGGAACCATATTGGAACCATATTGGAGGGAAACCTATTGGAACCATATTGGAACCTATTGGAACCTATTGGAACCATATTGGAACCGTATCTGGACCCTACTGGAACCGTATCTGAACCAGATTGGAACCCTATCCGAACCATATTGGAACCATATTGGAACCTATTGGAACCTATTGGAACCATATTGGAACCGTATCCGAACCATATTGGAACCACATTGGGACCTATTGGAACCATATTGGAACCGTATCTGAACCCTACTGGAACCGTATCTGAACCATATTGGAACCATATTGGAACCATATTGGAACCATATTGGAACCGTATCTGAACCCTATTGGAACCGTATCCGAACCATATTGGAACCATATTGGAACCTATTGGAACCATATTGGAACCGTATCTGAACCTTACAAAATTTCAGGGATCGAAACCCAAAAATTCAAGCTTTCAAGGAAAAAATGGGCTTTTCGACGAACACGGAATTGGGGGATTTTTACGTCGAGAGGTAAAGATATCTAAAACCTTTATAATAGATCTAAAAGCTTTATAATAAAGTTAAATGCTAAAAAGAAGCTTTTTAGCATTTAACTGTCAGCAATTACATAAAAAGCTGACTATAGGTAGAAGTTTTTAAGGCTTCAAAACGCTGTCGCCAACGCAACAAATCACAAGACGCAAATTTTCTGGCAAGACGTTTTTGACAATAATAAACCGGTGAGTTGAAAAAACTTGTCTTATAAAGTTAGAAATTAAAGTAATAGAAGGCTTAAAGTTTCAAATAAAACTCAGGTTTTTGTTTGTAAAACTTCTAAAGTTATAGTTTGTCTAAAGCTCTTTTTCTAAAGCTCAAATCTCAGGCCAGCTCGTCGATCATTCACGTTTGGAAAGGGGAAACACATCCCGAAGTGATGGCGAATATTAAAAGAGTGACAGAGAGTGGGAGAAGGGTCATTCTCTCATCTTGTTGGTTAGTTTAAGATCAACTGTTTAAGATCTACTGTTTAAGATCTACTGTTTAATATGTACTGTTTAAGGTGTACGGTTTAAGATGTACTGTTTAAGATATGCTGTAAAGATTTTCCTGTAAGTAAAGTCTAAAAGCAAATGAGTACAGTATAAAGTACTAGGGCAGCTTTAGAAATGGGATTTAAGAGCTCTGAAGAGCTCTGAAACGGGACTTAAGAGCTCTGAGGAGCCTTGAAACGGGACTTAAGAGCTCTGAAGAGCTCTGAAACGGGACTTAAGAGCTCTGAGGAGCCTTGAAACGGGACTTAAGAGCTCTGAGGAGCCTTGAAACGGGACTTAAGAGCTCTGAGGAGCCTTGAAACGGGACTTAAGAGCTCTGAGGAGCCTTGAAACGGGACTTAAGAGCTCTGAGGAGCCCTGAAACGGGACTTAAGAGCTCTGGGCCTGAAACGGGACTTAAGAGCTCTGAGAGCCTTGAACGGGACTTAAGAGCTCTGAGGAGCCTTGAAACGGGACTTAAGAGCTCTGAGGAGCCTTGAAACGGGACTTAAGAGCTCTGAGGAGCCTTGAAACGGGACTTAAGAGCTCTGAAACGGGACTTAAGAGCTCTGAAACGGGATTTAAGAGCTCTGAAGAGCTCTGAAACGGGACTTAAGAGCTCTGAGGAGCCTTGAAACGGGACTTAAGAGCTCTGAGGAGCCTTGAAACGGGACTTAAGAGCTCTGAAGAGCTCTGAAACGGGACTTAAGAGCTCTGAGGAGCCTTGAAACGGGACTTAAGAGCGCTGAGGAGCCTTGAAACGGGACTTAAGAGCTCTGAGGAGCCTTGAAACGGGACTTAAGAGCTCTGAGGAGCCTTGAAACGGGACTTAAGAGCTCTGAGGAGCCTTGAAACGGGACTTAAGAGCTCTGAAACGGGACTTAAGAGCTCTGAGGAGCCTTGAAACGGGACTTAAGAGCTCTGAAACGGGACAGAAGAGCTCTGAAGAGCTCTGAAACGGGATTTAAGAGCTATTCAAACTGCTGCTCCCGAGAAGTTGCTCAAGACTCCAAAAATCGTGTCATCGTTGGCTGCTTTTAGAAAGCTTGTCTTTAAGCTGGAATTGACGATATTCGTTTCTCGTTATACATCCGCAAAATGTGGACCCTCAGGCTTAGGCTCTTTTCCGTTATACATGCGCCAAATTTGCATTCATCCAAATTCCCAACAAATTTATAGCACCAAATAAAGGATACACTTATTAATAGAACATCAAAAAATACTCAATTTTCACTTCTTTCCAAAGGAAATTGACTTCAACTCAAAGTTGAGTAAGATCGCTAAAAACGGATCGCTAAAAACAGTTCTTAACCTTATTAAATGATGTATAAATAATATTTTAACATAAAATAAATCTCGAAAAGCTTTGATCCCTTGATCTTTCAGGTATCTCAATAGAATCAATTACGGAGCCGACTGGAAAGAAAACTTTGATGAAAAAGGGCCTGAGAATTCGTATTCTGGGTAGGCTGAAAGCAAATTTAACAGCCGAAACAGTCGAAAGCGAATTTAGCTACTACAATTGTGATCCTCGAGGCTTCGACGGAACACCCGAGCAGAAAGATCTCGTTTTGGGTGGAGTGATCGCGTTGTGGGGGGAAATGGTCGACGCAACGAATATGGAGAGTCGTTTGTGGTCGGTCATTGAAAATTGGTTTTCAGACGCGATTAAAATGCGATCCAGATATCAAAGCTTAGATCCAGTATCGTCTTTTCCAGGCCTAGAGCTTCAGCGGTGGCTGAACGATTGTGGTCGCCAGCCGAGTTGACAAAGGAGGCGAAAAAGGCTTGGCCGAGAATGCACGAGTTGCGGTGTAGACAGGTGAGCAAGGAATATAGGAAGCTTACGATTTGGATATCTTACCCTTTAGCTAACTTACTATTTAGCTAACTTACTCCTTAGCTAACTTACTCCTTAGCTAACTCGCTCTTTAGCTAACTTACTATTTAGCTAACTTACTATAAACGTTCAAATCCAATCCTTTCGTTAACTGTACCGTTATTTTACTTGGCTTTACGTATACTATTGAAAAACTACTTTATAAGCTACCTTATAAACTACCTTATAAATTATTCTTATTTTGGCTGTAACATTGTAACATTATTTTGTAACAAGGGTTACAAGTTGCTCAACTTCAAGCCTCGAAAGACTTGGTCCCTACTAAACATAGGAATATTCCAACCCGAACCGAATCAGATCGGATAGGAATTCGGATTGGATAGGAATTCGGATCGGATAGGAATTCGGATCGGATTGAAATTCGGATCGGATAGGGATTCGGATCGGATTGGAATTTTCTCATCTCTAGTCCCTAGATTAGGAAAATTGAAAGTTTAGCTAAATCTAGCTAATAGCTAAATGATCTCAGCTATAGGAAGCGCTTTTCAAAGTTTAGCTTAAGGAGAAGTACTTCTTTGCTTTGTACTTCTTTGCTTTGTACTTCTTTGCTTTGTGCTTCTTTGTTTTGTACTTCTTTGCTAAACATTGAGCTAAACATTGAGCTAAACTTTGAGCTAAACATTCAGCTAAACATTGAGCTAAACATTGAGCTAAACATTGAGCTAAACATTGAGCTAAACATTGAGCTAAACATTCAGCTAAACATTGAGCTAAACATTGAGCTAAACATTTCCCTGATCTTTTTCAGCTCTCTCGTGGCTTCCGGGTTCAACCCACCAATTGGCCGGATTTTTGTCCCTTCGAATGGTCTGGGGATAATTAGGTGGAACGGAGCAAAAGTTTCGCCGCGTTCATTTTCTATCGATCTTCCCCAAAAAAAAAAGTTTTCTCGAAGTTTTGAAATGGATTGTGAGGAAATAAAATCTTGTCGAAACACATTTGTCTACGATTTTGTTTACAATTTGAGATTTGCTTCATTTGAGAGAGAATATCATTTTGAGCATTGGTGCAAAAATTGTAAAATTGTGAAATTGTGAACGATGATGAAAATAGAAAGAAAGTTCCCGAGAGCACAAATTCGATCTTCAATTTTAGAGGATTTCACTGATTTCACCGAGCGCTTTTTTTTGTTCCAATTGATTTGAGATGACCTTTGAGCTATTTTTTAGCTAAGACAGAAAATGAATAGTTGAGTGTACCAGAAAGGGTGCGTTTCCAAAAGTGGAAAGTAGATGATTTGAATGAAATCGATTGAAAACCCTCCCTTCCTGGTGAACTCGGTTTTCCATTTTTCTCCTAAAAACAGTTTAATGTTGTGAGAAAAATGAAGGTCCTTGTGTGTTAGACGGGAGGCGTTTACATTCGCTGAGTACAAAGAACACCTCCAAACTAGATACCTAAATAGATCAGATTGGTTCCTAAAGCTGTTTCAGGTTTAGGCCTAGCCTGGTCTGGGTTAGCTGCAGGCCTTGTCACACCAGAAAGTTTTGGGTCCAACAGAGCCAGGCCTGGACCTGGGCCTAAACCTGTACCTGTGCCCGGGCTCGACCTGGACCTGGACCTTGGCCCGGACCTGGACCTGGACCTGGTCCTGGATCTGGACCTAGACCTGGACCTGGACCTGGGCCTGAACCTGGACCTGTGCCCAGGCTCGACCTGAACCTGGACCTGTGCCCGGGCTCGACCTGGACCTGGGCTTGAACCTGGACCTGGGCCTGGACCTGAACTTGGACCCAGATCTGGGCTTGTACCTGAGCCTGGACCTGGGTCTGGACCTGGACCTTGGCCCGGACCTGGACCTGGATCTGGACCTGGACCTGGGCCTAGACCTAGGCTTGAACCTGGACCTGGACTTGTGCCCGCGCTGGAGCTGGACCTGAACCTGGACCTGTGCCCGGGCTGGACCTGGACCTGGGCCTAGGCCTGGGACTGGGCCTGGATCCTGAACCAGACTAAGTAGCCAAAGACATTCAAACAAAGTGACTAGGTTTAGACTAGGACTAAAGTTTTAGTCCTCCCTAAAGTTTTAGTCCTAGAGTAAAAGAATACGTTTGTAAACAAGATCAACGCTACGGTAATCCCTAATATTTCCCCTATTCTAGTACAGTAAATCCCACTTTGTAAACCCTTGTAAGTTCTCATTAGAATAAAAACTCATCATCAAGGAGAATATATTTCAATTTCTTTCATTGAAGGCTATTCAGGTTGATCATTTCGGCATACTGGAGTGAAAAGAAAGCAGATTTTTGGTCGATTTTAGGTCGAGAGCTGTAGTAGGTTACTGTAGTTTAAATGCAAAGCTTCATTCAAACTTTAATAGCATTTATTGACTGAATATCGGGAAAAACATTTGGGGAAATTTTTGTGTGGGAGAAAAAGGAAAGACAAATCGCCTATAGTTTTAAGAGATAAAGATGTTCAACGAATTGAGCAAGGGAATGTTTTTTTGGCAGAAACAAAGACAAGGCGAGTTTCTTTTTTTTGTACAGGATTTGGAAAGAGTTTTGTGAATGATGGTGAAATAAATTATTTGTGATGTTGCTTTTGATATTGGACATTTGGGAGGGTTTTCGTTTGAGCCTCGTCGATATTCAAGAAGTAGTGTCGACACCTGAATTTTCGTTGTGAAAAAGGACGCTCATGGACGTTTGCTCATGGACGTTTGTTCAAGTTGTTTACGTTTAAATTTTGTAAACTTCAGGCAGCCATGATTGTTTCATAACAACATTATGTCAGCCAAGAGCTGGCTTCTGGTTTTGTTTGGCTTTACTACAAGTCTAGACTACAAAGTCTAGAGCTTAAGCTTAAGTCCAGAGCTTAGGTCCAGAGCTTAAGTTCAGAGCCTGTAAGTACTTTGTACTCAACGAATGTAAACGACCTGTGCTCGGGCTGGACTTGGACCTGGGCTTGAACCTGGACCTGGGCCTGGACCTGGACCTGGACCTGGACCTGGACCTGGACCTGGCCTGGTCTGGGTTGGCTGCAGGCCTTGCCCACCAGAAAGTTTTTGGGTCCAACAGAGCCAGGCCTGGACTTGTGCCTGAGCTGAACCTGGACCTGGGCTTGGACCTGAGTTGGACCTGTGCCGAGCTGGACCTGGACCTGAGCTGAACCTGGACCGGGCTTTTGACCTGGGCTTGGACCTGGACCTGAGCCTGGACCTGTGCCGAGCTAGACCTGGACGTAGACCTGGGCTTAGGCTTGGACCTGAACCTGGACCTGTGCCTGGGCTGGACCTGGACTTGGGCTTGAACCTGGACCTGGACCTGGGCCTGAACTTGGACCTAGACCTGGGTTTGTCCAGAGCCTGCCAGTCAAACCAGACCAGGCAAAGCAAGGTCAGAGCTAGCCTAAAAGCCAAGTCTGAGTCTGGCTTCTAGCCAAGTCTTGGCTTTTGATGAGGACAAAACTTTTACTTTTAACTGGCCTGCTCAAATCAAACCAGAAGCCGGCCCAGATCCGGCTTTTGACTGGCCTGGCTTGGTTTGAGCGAAAGGCAAAACTAAAAGCTAATTTTCTTCTGACCAACCTAAAAACGACGTAGACGAAGAAAAGGTATAAACAGATTGGGACGAGGAGCCCGAAAATCAGCGGTAGACCCATATCTTCGACTTTCATCGCGAAAGTCACATCTTGTTTCCCATCACCGCTAAAAGCTCACAACAGGTAAACCTATGAAATCGATTTGTTGACTCACTTTCTGTCCACAAAATCTTCATCTTTCTTCTTCATGTGATTGTAGAGGAAACCGAGGAGAGGGACAAAGTGGAAAACGACTTGGATCAGCTGAAAGAGATTGAGAAATGTGATCATTATTCGAAAATTGTCGAAAATCGAAAGTATCAATGCATTTGTCGGTAAAACTTTGACATTTGTGGATGTACTACCGTAATACTTGTAATAATGGCGCCCCTTAACTGAATATCTTAATGTCTACGAGAAATCTCATTCGGAAATTCGGCTTTTTGGCTTTTTAGTTTGCAACTACCAAAATTTTTCTTTAATTCTTCTTCTTTTTACTGCTTTTCTAGCATTTCTTATTTGTTTTCTTCGATAATTTTATTTTTTTAGGTTCGACGAGCGATCACGAAAGCTGGGATGACTTTGAAGCGTTTCGCGATTGACTTGAGCACGAACTAAACGCATTCTTTGAAGAAAGACAAGAACATCAACGTGAATTGAACGAAGAATTGCAAGAGGAATCGCAATAGATGCAAAGACTAAACTCGATGCTGCAAAAATGGCTCACGAAGTCTCCGTTCATGTCACTGCCAGATTCTAATTGATTGAGCTTGTGTCCAACGATACGTCAAACAAAGAAATGTGCTGAGCAAAATGCACGAAGAAAGCGGCTCGATAATGGCGGACGCGCTTTGACTGATGAAGAGATTGATGATTGATTGCTTGATGAAGAGATTGATGAGATTGATGAATCTTTAGCATATGGATTCTTGAAAAAAGGAGCCGTTCATGCCACTGCCAGATTCTACCAAATTGATTGAGCTGATTGAGTGTTCAACGATTGAGTGTCCAACGATTGAGTGTTCAATGATAGACGTATCGTCAAATGAACTGAGCAAGATGCACAAAGAAAAAGGAAGCGGCTCGCTAATGGCGGACGCGCTTTGACTGATGAAGAGATTGATGAGATTGATTGCTGAGATTGATGAAGCTTTAGCATCTGGATTCTTTAAAAAAGGAGCAAAAAAAGCGAGTGACCCGTCGAATCGTTTGAAACGAAGCGGCTAATCGATTTGTTAATGCAGAGATTCCCTTCGAAAAAAGTCACGGTTGGATGGAATCGTTTCTAAAGCGGCACCAATTCTCATTGATAATGGTGACCACAATATGTCAAAAGCTTCCAAAACATTTTACTGTTATCGTTTTGTTGTTTGTTATAGAACCGGGTATGAATAACATGGGCAGCTAATTTTTTTTGGCATTTTGATCAGCTTAGTCGGTTCTATTTACTAATAAAGTTGAGGGGGGCACTTTTTTTTCTTCAAAACCACTTTTTCTGGGGGCAATTTTATGCGTAGATTCCGGAAAACACAACGAGAACTTCAGAAAATGCGTTTTAAGCCAAGTTTCGGGGCTCCAAAGTGCTCGCCTTGTACTTCACTATATGGAGTCCAAGCTATCGACTATTGGGGCCTTTTTCAAGGTCAACCCTAAAGCCGAACCGATTTTTAACCACTAAATATTCATTTTCCTGACTTAAATTGACTGGTAGAGGCAAAAAAAATTGAAAAAAATTTTTAAGATTTTGACTCATGTGGGGGACCAGATGATCGAAATTTTGAAAAAAATTTTTTTTTTATTTTGCTTCAATTTATTCAGAAACGTAATCAGTAGGCTAAATTATGCCAGAAGAAGTGTTTTTGGCTTCGAGAAATGTTTTGAGAGACCATTTTTTAGACCTCTTCCTTATGTGTATCCCTCTCATCACACAGAGATCATCTCTCATATTGGAGCGCACTTTGGAGCCCCGAAACTTGGCTTAAAACGCATTTTCTGAAGTTCTCGTTGTGTTTTTCGGAATCTACGCATAAAATTACCCCAGAAAAAGTGCTTTTGAAGCTGATCTAGAGCTGAGAAGAGCTAGCTGCCGATACTCATAGATATTTTGCATAGAAGTTTTCAAAATCTCGCTTTAAACGCTTTTCTGAAGCTGATCAAAATGCCAAAATAGCTGCCGATACTCATAGATATTTTGCATAGAACTTTTCAACATCTCGCTTTAAACGACGTCAATATGAGCCGGTGCATATCGGCGCGAAAATGCGTTTTCTATCCGATTTTTCTGGGAGTACCTTTTTTAGATGCGGAAAATTGTGCTGATTCCGAATCTGAAGGAATTTTTCAAAGCCCTCTGGCAGAAATTTTTTAAATTTAGTTTTAGCGGTTTTTTTGGTCATTTTGTATGGGAAATTTTGTGGTACCCTGCAGTTTGGAGCTCGTAACTCGACAACGAGGATCTAGAACCAAAAACGAAGGGATAATTTTTATTCTAGAGACTCTTACGAACATTTTGATGCAAAAATCATCAAATTTGCTCAACTCTACAAAAAGTTATAACATTTCTGTCAGAGGGATTTGAAAAATTCCTTCAGATTCGGAATCAGCACAATTTTCCGCATCTAAAAAAAGGTACTCCCAGAAAAATCCGATAGAAAACGCATTTTTGCCTTATTTGGCGCCGATGTGCGGTGGTCTAGTGGATAAAATTCTTGTGTACAAAGCGATTCATCTCTTTTGCTCGGGTTCGCGCTGGGGTACCTTCCCCGGTGAGTCCCCTGAAGCTACTCACCTGAACAAAGATGTATGGCAATAGCCGGAAAGCATGATGATCCCTCAAGCCCCACCAAAGGAGAACAGCCGCTATCAGCACCAAGGGGACCATCACCAACTGGAAAGGTTGATAGTTATAATAGCGAGTAAAATCTTGCCTTATATCCCTTGAACACTGGCGGTGCCCATCCACAAATGAACGCAACCGGAAAGCCGATCACCTCGATGAGCGCAAAAATTAACGCAATCACGGCTGCTCGCTGGAATTTCAAAATTGAATAGTTGGAGGCAAATCATTTTCCAAACACACCATTTCTAGCGCACTCATTTCTTTATTTTTCGGGATAAAGAAAAGAAAACTTAGAAAGAATGGAAAGAAAGAATGGTTTTAGAAGAAAAAGCAGATTCAAAAGATTCTATGAAATGAAAAAGCAAATTCTATGAAATTCAGTGTTAATAAAGTAATATTAATAAAGATTTAAAGATTTAATCATTGTAACATTGATAAATTGATCATGATCATTGATAAATCCCTTTTCCCTTTGATAAATCCCTTTTCACTTCCTCACCTTTACATGAATCAATCCACAAAGGTAAAATCGTTTAGCTGTGTAGTCGAAATGAGGATAATTCGGGTCCTCAACAGTCCAAAGAGTTTTGAATGTGTCCGCTAAGCCCATTTCTGAAAGTTAGATTGTAAGAAAAGTTAAAAACAATGAACAGGATAGCAAAACGTTTGAAAGAACAAATGAATTGGAGATATGTATTGAAGCTATAGACTGAAGCTATGGATTGAAGCTATAGATTGAAGCTATGGATTGAAGCTATGGATTGAAGCTATGGATTGAAGCTATGGATTGAAGCTATGGATTGAAGCTATGGATTGAAGCTATGGATTGAAGCTATGGATTGAAGCTATGTATGGAAGCTATTCACTGAAGCTATAACTCGCAGAGATTTCCATTTAAAAACCTTTTTTAACAATTCAAATTAAGAAGTTTATAAGTTTCTAAACGAATTTCGCAAAAAGGAAAAGCTTTCGCAGCGAGCAGGATTCGAACCTACGCGGGCAGAGCCCATTTGATTTCGAGTCAAACTCCTTAACCACTCGGACATCGCTGCATGGGATGGCCTTGTGATTTTGAGTGTTTTGAACTGAAGTTAATCAAAAAATTAGAATTTAAGCCAAAGGGATGACAAGATCGAGAAAGAAATGAAAGATGGGAGGTTTTTAAAGTCATTTTAAAGCCAAAAGGGCAGCTTAAAGTTTTTAAAGTCAAGCTAGTCTGATGGTTTAACAATGAGTACAATGGGAAGAGGAAAGATCGAAGAAGGAAGAGGAAGAGGAAGAGGAAAGATTGAAGAAGGAAGAGGAAAGATTGAAGAAGGAAGAGGCAAGATTGAAGAAGGAAGATGAAGAGGAAGAGGCAAGATTGAAGAAGGAAGATGAAGAGGAAGAGGCAAGATTGAAGAAGGAAGAGGAAGAGGAAGAGGCAAGATTGAAGAAGGAAGATGAAGAGGAAGAGGCAAGATTGAAGAAGGAAGAGGAAAGATTGAAGAAGGAAGAGGCAAGATTGAAGAAGGAAGATGAAGAGGAAGAGGCAAGATTGAAGAAGGAAGATGAAGAGGAAGAGGCAAGATTGAAGAAGGAAGATGAAGAGGAAGAGGCAAGATTGAAGAAGGAAGAGGAAAGATTGAAGAAGGAAGATGAAGAGGAAGAGGCAAGATTGAAGAAGGAAGATGAAGAAGGAAGAGGAAAGATTGAAGAAGGAAGATGAAGAGGAAGAGGCAAGATTGAAGAAGGAAGAGGAAAGATTGAAGAAGGAAGATGAAGAGGAAGAGGCAAGATTGAAGAAGGAAGAGGAAAGATTGAAGAAGGAAGATGAAGAGGAAGAGGCAAGATTGAAGAAGGAAGATGAAGAGGAAGAGGCAAGATTGAAGAAGGAAGATGAAGAGGAAGAGGCAAGATTGAAGAAGGAAGAGGAAAGATTGAAGAAGGAAGAGGCAAGATTGAAGAAGGAAGATGAAGAGGAAGAGGCAAGATTGAAGAAGGAAGATGAAGGGAAGAGGCAAGATTGAAGAAGGAAGATGAAGAGGAAGAGGCAAGATTGAAGAAGGAAGAGGAAAGATTGAAGAAGGAAGATGAAGAGGAAGAGGCAAGATTGAAGAAGGAAGATGAAGAAGGAAGAGGAAAGATTGAAGAAGGAAGATGAAGAGGAAGAGGCAAGATTGAAGAAGGAAGAGGAAAGATTGAAGAAGGAAGATGAAGAGGAAGAGGCAAGATTGAAGAAGGAAGAGGGAAAAGATTGAAGAAGGAAGATGAAGAGGAAGAGGCAAGATTGAAGAAGGAAGATGAAGAGGAAGAGGCAAGATTGAAGAAGGAAGATGAAGAGGAAGAGGCAAGATTGAAGAAGGAAGAGGAAAGATTGAAGAAGGAAGAGGCAAGATTGAAGAAGGAAGATGAAGAGGAAGAGGCAAGATTGAAGAAGGAAGAGGAAAGATTGAAGAAGGAAGAGGCAAGATTGAAGAAGGAAGATGAAGAGGAAGAGGCAAGATTGAAGAAGGAAGAGGAAAGATTGAAGAAGGAAGAGGAAAGATTGAAGAAGGAAGAGGAAACATTGAAGAAGGAAGAGGAAAGATTGAAGAAGGAAGAGAAAAGGTGGAAGAAGGAAGAGGACAGATGCCATAGGCATGAGAATAACCAAGTACCAAGCAGTACTGCTCCTTATGAACGGTAAATTGACAATAGAGATCAGTTGGCAATACAAAATCTTTCCCCAAAAATTGATACATAAAGGCAATGACGTTTCTTTAAACCAATCACGGAACAACGGGAGGAGGAGATGGGAAAATCGGGAAGAAAGGCTAATTTGAACGAATTTTGGAAAAAAGAGAGAACTCTTGGGGGGAAATTGAAAAGAAAAAATGAAGAATAGCATAATCACATGTTTTGGAAATTTAGAAAATTAGAAAATTGGGAAAATTTGGGGAAATTTGGGTGAAAACAGTGGAGATTTCTCAGTGAAAGGGGGCTGAGCTTGGAAATTGAGAGATCGGGGGATTTTTGTTGAAAACGGATATCACTTTCGGAAACTTCTTTCGGAAAAAAAGGCATGTCATTTTTGAAAAGAGGGGAATCTTTTGCGAAAGATGATTTATGAAGTGGGAAAAGCGAGTCGACGAACCGTGATGTTTATGAGTGAAGAAAGATGGGAAAAAGTTTGGAAATGATAGGGAAATTGGAGAAAATAGGACACGGCAACAACAACAATAAGAAAAACGATATAAAGAAAATCTTTATCTCAATGTTAGCTCTGTTTTAGTGATGAGCAAATCGTAAGAAACGATCGGCTTAAAGCTGGAGCCTGGAGAGCTTAAACCTGGAGCCTGGAGAGCTTAAACCTGGAGCCTAGAGAGCTTAAACCTGGAGCCTGGAGAGCTTAAAGCTGGAGTCTGGAGAGCTTAAACCTGGAGCCTGGTGAGCTTAAAACTGGAGCCTGGAGAGCTTAAAACTGGAGCCTGGAGAAGGTGATTAGGTTTTGGGATTAAGGGATTAGGAGAAGGTGATATTGATCATGCTGAAGACTGTGCTCCTCTTGATCAAAGCGTTTTCTAAAATGTGTTACCTTTAGAAAATTGCTCTGCTCCAGAAAACTGCTATAATCTCGCATTTACCGTTACCAAACTGTTTTAAATAGACTATAGGGTGCAATATTCTTGGAAAATTTTGAGCTTAAAGGTTCTTTAGCGCTTCCAAAATGATTTATGAAAAAATTATTAAAAAAACACTGAATTTAATCATCAAAGTTGACCGCAGAAGCCCGTCAACTTTGACCCCGTTTTTCTCTATCTTTTCACTGGTAAGTATTTTAAACAAATTGCACTTTTCTCTAGCCAAATTTTATCCAGATTCTTTTGAAATCAACCGTTAGTCAATTCGATCTCTGGATCTTTACTCGATCGATTCGATCTTTACTCGATTAATCGATTAATTAATTTTTGTTCGAATCACTACGAGTGATCCTCTTTACACGTCGAGTAAGTTGCATATCTTTACATTTGAAGGGAATTTGCCACCAAATCAGTTGAACGGCTGAATATCTTTCAAAAAGAGTCGTATATAAGTCGGTCAATTTGCGCGCCAATTTTTTTGCAATAATTTTCGCTAAAGTAATTTAGTTTTTCTAAGGTAGTTTTTCTAAGGTAATTTTTCTTAAGCGTGCGCTTTGAAAAAAGGCATTACTCGCGAGGAACACAGCGAGGAACACACGCTAGCGATCACGGCGTTTAAATCTTTTGTTCAAAAGATCTAAAGACAAAAAAAACAAGATCTAAAGAGAAAAGGATGAACCCAAGAGCAAGAAGCCATAGAGAAACTCAGTCATCCGAATATCGTGAAATTCTATGGATTTGATGAAGACGAGTATTTCAATACCTTCAAAATGGAAGACTGTGAAAGGAAATAGCTTTTACAAAGCTATCATTTAATAGAAAATAATCTCAAGAACACAAATTTTAGTACTAGATAATCCAAGCATTATCTACTCGATGGTCACAGCTATCTGCTGGGCTATCTGCTGGGCTATCTGCTGGGCTATCTGCTGGGCTATCTGCTGGGCCATCTGCTGGGCTATCTGCTATCAGCTATCTGCTGGGCTATCTGCTATCAGCTATCTGCTGGGCTATCTGCTATCAGCTATCTGCTGGGCTATCTGCTGGACTATCTGCTGGACTATCTGCTGGGCTATCTGCTGGGCTATCTGCTGGACTATCTGCTGGACTATCTGCTGGGCTATCTGCTGGGCTATCTGCTGGGCTATCTGCTGGGCTATCTGCTGGGCTATCAGCTATCAGCTATCAGCTATCAGCTATCAGCTATCAGCTATCAGCTATCAGCTATCAGCTATCAGCTGGGGTGAACACATGTTTGCAGCACATTGCAGCACTGAAACATTTGGAGAGAGTGCGCATCCTTCATCGAGACATCAAACCGAGGAACACACTCTACATATTACATTATTGTGAATTTTGCTTATAAAATTTTGCTGATAAATATTAAAACTGAAAGATCGAACATTGCTAATTTTGCTGGTTCTAATGTTTCGATTTTTTTGTTCATCTCTGCCTTTTTCTTGTTCTTACTTCTGAGCTTCTTACGTAACAAGAGTTTTTGGACAGCTTATTATGTGGATAAGAATTTATTTTGTTTAGTTAAGCTCATTCATACTATTAAGCTCATTCATATATAATAAATACCGTATTTTCTCTAATAGTAGTGCACCCAGAGCGTCGCCTATCTTTGTCACCAAATCTTTGGAGAAAACGCAGCCAAATCTGTAGAGAAAAGGCACCAAATCTGTACAGAAAGGGAACCAAATCTTTGGAGAAAAGGGACCAAATCTTTGCTCGAAATCTCGAGAACCGCTTATCAGAACCTATCGATGTGGGGTCGGAAAATGTAGCTGACGATGAGATTTAGTGGGGGATTTGAGTGTTGAGCTTCTGTGAAAGCTTGGAAACCGTAAAATAGTCATCAACTCGGTTCACCGGGGTGCGCTACTATTAGAGAAAATACGGTATTGAATATTGTAACCGGTGTACCGTGACTAAAAGCACCACAACAACAAAAAGCACCAAACCGTAACAAGACTACTAAAAGCCATCTTTCACATGGTTTTAGAAAAAGACCCCGTGAATTCATCTGTCCATAAAGGACACCGAAAGTTATCAAAATCAGATATTAGATAGAATGCAAGATTTCCACAGTTTTACCTGTTCGTTCAAATGAGCCTGATCTTGAGGAAATGCGTAATGTACGCAGGCTAAAATAATATAAAACTCAAGTACACACAAGTGTAGAACATAATATCGAGATTCGGGTAGAAACAACTCTACTCTAGCGAACAAAGTCTAACTTTATAGTTCTTAAATCACCCACTCGTCCAATCATTTCTCCATTCACAACGGCCTTGATTTATCTCCACTTTCCTATGGTTAATCAAAGAAAAATGAAATCGTATTATGGAGAATGAGATCAAAAAAAAAAAGAACGGTAGTTGTTTACGAGAGAGAGCTATAGAAAGAAGCTATAGGAGCTATAGAAAAAAAGAAAGCTCTGTTCTCTGTTCTCTTGTTGTTAGCCTAATTTTCAACGAATCCAGTTCAAAGCCTTCCTTGAAAGCACCCAATTTCAACGAGATTTTTCGGCAAAATGTGGCAAAATCTAAGAGCAAATCACGATTGTATTTAAGGGAAAATCTTGTTGTAAGATAATTTTAGGGACCTAGTCAAAATAGCGCCATTCAAAACAGCGCCGTTCAAAACAGCGCCATTCAAAACAGCGCCCGTACAAAAATCGCGCCGTTCAAAACAGCGCCCATACAAAAATCGCGCCGTTCAAAACAGCGCCCGTACAAAAGTAGCGCCAAATTGAAAGAGACTGCGATTAGTTTTTTCAACCCCAATGTTTTTATGCTTTTGATCAGAACGACGCTGTTTTGAATGGCGCTGTTTTGAACGGCGCTATTTTGGTGGCGCTATTTTGAACGGCGCTGTTTTGGCGGCGCTATTTTGACTAGGTTCCTAATTTTAAACTTGAATATTCAAAGATCCAAAGAGGAAATTTGTGAAGTGAGCAAAGATAATCAACTTTGAAAGTTCATTAAGCCGAGAGGAAGAGCAGAGACTCAGTCCATAGAAAAGTTCCGGTTCTTGCAAGCATTCAGAAAAAATGTGAAGGATTTATTGAACAAAATTGACTCAAAAATTTGCCCTTATAGCTTCAACATAAATTTCCTGATTGAAAAAGGTTTCTAAAGAAGCCTAAAGAAAAGTAAAGAAGCCCTAGGGTTTGCAAGCAGGGCAAAATTACTTGGACAACTTTTTGGAAACTTGTACGCTTAATTTACACGCTTAATTTATTTCAAAGTGTCAAATGTTATACAGAGAATTGTAGCCCTAAATCTTGGCTACATTTTTCTACTAAAAACTTTCCAATCGGCTTTATGCAACTCATTTAATCGTCAAAAATGGCAGCGCGCTGGTTAGAGATCGACTAGTGCTCATTCAAGGACTTGTTAAATGAGTTGCATAAAGGCGATTGGGAAGTTTTTAGTAGCAAAATGTAGCCAAGATTAAGGGCTACAATTCTCTATATAACACTTGATACTTTGAAATAAATTAGACATTTCTCAGCTACTTTTCTAAAGTCTAAACAACTTTTTCAAAAAGTTGTCCAGATAATTTTGCCCAATCCTGTAGTTGCTTTGGAGCTGCTTTGGAGCAACTCTGGCAATAACAAAGAGTACTATAGCATAGATTTTGTTTGTATAAAACTATGCTAGGCAAGAAAAGGATGTGATTTGCTATGGCTTAATTACCCAACCCCAATCAAGCCAACCCAACCCCAGTCAAGCCAACCCAACCCCAAGTCAAGCCAACCCAATGAGCAAGGTGTAGCTTTTGAATGAGACACAAGGAAAGAACACACAATTGACTCGTTCGTATTGTGCTTCGGCTGTTCTTTGTCTGAGCTAAGCTCTGTCAAGAGATTACAAACTAAGAGAGAATAAGAGAGAAACTAAGAGAGAAAGAGAAAGAGAAAGAGCTTATTTTGTCATCCCAAGTGTTAAATTTATGAACTTATTAAACTTTTGCCCATCATTCCACCAAAAGTCTCTAGAAATAGAAGGAAAAAGAGAGCAGTAAGCCAAAAAAGAATTTTCAATGATAAGTACAAGTGGAGAATCACTGGGATCGAGAAAAAATCGTGTTCGATGTGCGCGCATAGACGTCAATGAAAGAAAAGACGTGCCCAGAAAAAGATTTAACCCCAAAAACGCGAAATTAGAGTTGGAGAGTTTTGTGGAAATTTTCTTTTTTTGGTTTAGAAGGAGAGAGATGTCCCTTGTGACAAAATTGTGGTTGGGGGAAAGGAGGGGAAGAAAAGGGAAAGAAAAGGGAGAGAAAATGGAAAGAAATGGAGAGAAATGGAAAGAACATGGAAAGAAATGGAGAGAAATGGAAAGAAAATGAGAAAATCGGGGCGGAACTGGTCTCTCTCTCATCCTTGGTTTTGAAAATCTTTTGACTTTTTGAGATTTCCGTTTTTCTCTTTAAAAAGAAACCTCGACAGTGATCAATTTGGGTGGTTTGAACTTGGGGAAAACCGTTAACACCGAGTGAGATATGCTAATTTTGGAAGGGGAAATTGCGATGGTCAGGTCAAAACACAAGGTTAGACGAGTTTGTAAAGGAAAATGAGTCCAAAGAGTGGGAGTGGGACAAATGCGACCTTTTTTTTGCGCACCCGGACATTTGCGCACCTTTTTTTCCGCATCTTGCCCATTAGCGCACCTTTTTTCGCGTTTTAAAAAAGCTCTAAAAAGCTAAAAAGCTCTAAAAGCTAGTATTAACCAATTTCTCTTCCAAAAGTTGTTTTTCTAGGTAATTTGAGGGTGTCGAATTCAAATTTTGACATAAAAGAGCGTGTGGAACCAATTTGAAAGACAAAACGGCTAGATCAAATTACAGAAAATTGTCGATTTTTCTCTTTGTATAACTCCGTCCGTTTGTTTCCACAAGCTCTGATATGTCAAAATTTCGATTCTACGCCCTAAAATTACCTAGAAAAACAACTTTTAGAATAGAAATTGGTTAATAGTAGTTTTTAGAGCTTTTTTAAAACGCGAAAAAAGGTGCGCTAATGGGCAAGGTGCGGAAAAAAAGGTGCGCAAATCTCCGGGTGCGCAAAAAAAAGGTCGCATTTGTCCCACTCCCAAAAAAGTTGCTCGTTTTTAACGATTTTAATGACCAGCTCGTTTCCTCGTATTGATAGCATGTATTAAATAAAAATTTTACGAAACTTTTCTCTAAGAACTAGTAAATTTGGTTGATAGATACAAATTGTAACTACCGTAAATACTGTAATAGTACCCCACCCCTCTCGTAAAGTCGCGTAGTCGTACAGTCGCGTACAAAAGTTTTCTAGTATTTCATTTTTTTCAAAGCGCCCGTACTTTCAAAAAATGTGTCTTTGGTATCAAAAAATAGCCCTGAATTTCAGCTATTTTTTGATACCAAAGCGCGCATTGTAGCATAAACCAGTGCCGAGAAAAACGCGTTCAAAGCTAGACTACACGTAGACTAGACAAAGCTAGACTAGACTACGCAACACTCCGCACCGTCATTATGGGGCTGGGGTACTATTACAGTATTTACGGTATTTGTATGGCTAAACATGTAAAAGCAGTCAAGCAAAACTTATTTTCGACAGCAAAAGTGGATTGACGATTGGCAAAGGTGTTTACTTTAGAGAAATTTCAACGCTACAAGCCAAAGACAAAGCTTTTCTTTCAATAAGAAATTAAAAAAATTGGACCCTTGGAACTTTATCAGCTTTATCTAGGCATAAGGTAAACAACAGTTGTAAGGAAACAAATTTTTAAAAGCAAGACAAGTTCGTCCATTCACTTGAAGTTCACCAAAGTTCACCTCAAGCCCAGTCAAAAGGATTGCAAAAGGTCAAGGAACTGATTTTTGAAAAAAGAAAAACGTTTTACCGGAACTTTTTCTGGTTTTATAATCTTTTCCCCATTTTGAGTTCAACAATTTATTCAAGCAAAGGTTTGATTCGAGAAGTAAGTGACTGTCGGCTCTTTTTCGCGTTTTGCTCGCTGCAAATCAACGAAATAGTGACGACATCTAAATTTTAGGTATAAATCTGAAGCTATCATAATTATTTCAATAGATGGGCTTCTATTTCATAACCTATTTACAGTACACTCAAACTTTTAAGAGCTCAAACACAAGGTGTTGTTGCTAAATTTTTATCCGGTTTTGATTTTATTTGTGATTGAAAGCTTTTTGAAGTCTTTAAAGTTGAAGTTGAAAATTTTAAACATTGTCTAAGATTAAATATTAAATATTAAATACAGTCAAACCTCGATTTAACGATTCTCAATTGCCCGGGATTCTCTATCGTTAAATCGAACGTTTTTATAAGGCAAATGGCTTTCAAGGCACCAAAAATTGACATCGTTAAATCGAGGTTTGACTGTATATATTTGTCCGGACTCACTTGTAGACAATGTAGAAGAAAATCGAGTAAACAACCACCCGCACAAGACACGAGATCGTCATGAAGATTGACGCGCTTTCGACGGACACTTAATTTTTGTCATAATTTACACTCAAAAACTTTCTTACTTTGTGTATGGAAGACTTCAATCGTGTGATCCTTTTTTGTTCTAAAATTTGGCATTAAAATGGACAAGTGCACCAACTCACTTCAACTCTTTTCCATATCCCATCTCGCTGTCGGTATTAATTGCTGTGATTGCGTAACGAATCGCATAATACGCATAGAAAGTTATCATTAAAGCCTAAAATTGAAATTATTGCTTGTCATGTACTTGACCAACTTTTGCTAGCAGATATGGTAGAAGTGCAGTCGGATGCTCGGCTTTTAATCCGATGAATAGAGCAATCAAAGCGATCACCTCGATTGGTAGCATGATTATCTAAATTTACTGAAGAAATGTCAATTTATTGTCAATCTTTGACACTTCAGCATAGACATAGGCCTTTTGCAGAAAACGAGTTAGTTCCACACTTTAGCAAGCAGCCCTTATTTTCTAAAGCGTGGATCCAATGCTATTTCGAGCTTTAAAAAACAAGAGCTGTTTGCTAAAACGTGAGACTAACTCGTTTTCTACAAAAGGTCCATGTATACTTCAGCAGAACTCACTTGCATGATCGCCCATCCAGACCAAATCGTGGCGATGATTCGGTAGACCAACATGCCTAGAGACACGAAAAGGACCGTACATGCTGCTATCTAAATGACTTTGTTCATTGCTAAAATCGCCTACAATTAGAATGATCAAAAATATATGTTTTATAGAAGTTCAGATTCTAGAAGCTCACTGGAACTCAAAATTAAGTCTGAGCAATCTGAACAAGTGCGAAAAAGAGATCTCCGGAATTTTCAATCAAGTAACCTTGCCATCTTGTCAAAACACTTCAACAACTTGGTTGCTCCGTGAGTCATATTTTCCGGAACTTACAACAGCTTACAACAGATTTCTAATACCATAAACTCTAATAAAGAAGACATGCCACTTTATCAACCTCCCTTCAGGATCCTATTTTGTGATCTCCTCACAAATTTTCAAGAGGGAGAGTTTATGTGGGAGTCGCTTTACTTGAGATTACGGTATGTAGATTTATTATTAAACTGTAAGAGAAGCAAAATTAATTTGATCCGCTTTCCTCCATACCTTCACATGTGAACATCCACAAAATTTGTACTTCTTTGCATAGTAATCAAACGGAAGCTCCGGACGTACCACTTGCCAGATTTGAACCATTTTTTCTAAAAAAGTTTTTATAAGAATAGATCTCTATATCGAAAATTGCTACATGTGTTCAAATTTTCGGGAAAACAAAATCAAAATTTTTTTGACCGCACGAAAAAAGAGAAGAGAGAACTTCGCCGGCCTTGAGTGGAGGGGAGATTTGGGAAATTTTCTTCTCAAAAATTTCAAATGACGCATTTCGGCAAAAGTGATTTGATTATTTTTGAGAAAACGATCAACTCAAATTAGATTTACCTATTTTCTGGCGCCACAAATTTTTTAAGGAACAAGTTGTTTATGTGTAATACGGAAATTTCGGTGAATTTTATTGGCATTGACAGGTCTGATCGATTTAGGCCGTTATAGCTGATGTTTTCACATTTGAGAATCGTTTTTGTTCGGACAAAAATATTATTTCTCCAAGAAGTCAAATATGTATAAGTTTTAAAGCCATACATATCCTAACTCATTTAATGAACAAATCGACTATTTAAAAAATCATCAATTCCAATATATCCAACATCCCGATAAATGTTCACAATAAAAATATCAGCACTACCAAAAACTTTGTTTCCGACACACAAGGAAATATTCGAATTGATGAGTCAATTTGCACATTCCATTGTTTCTTAATCGACTAGAACACCATATCGAGCTCGAGGACTTACGGGGGTCCTTGATGCTCGGCTTGGAATTTCCCATCGTTCTTGCTGTGTTTGTCGACGGCCTTCTGTCGTGTATTGATCATCTCGTTCAAATCCGCAATTCTTGGCTAAAAACAAAAATTAAAGCGTTCTACCAAATCATTAATTCCAAAAGTCGTACTAAATCCGTTAAATCAAAACTCACCAATGGCATGTTGATTTAATTTCCGGCTTCTCAAATATCACTTGTTCTTTTTAAGGAGTATCTTCATAGAGCTGGCCCTAAAGCAAAACCGATTGAAAAAATACAAAACAAAACAAAAATAAAACGGATGAATAAAGTATACCTGAACCATGGCAACAAAAAGACTTTCAAGGAGTTGAATATCCGGTTGATTGATCCCTGCGTTTGCGGGAACCGCAATCTAAAGAAAGAGAATAGCAAATGATTAATGTATGCAATTAAGGTCATGTAAAGTTACGTATCACTTAATATCTTCACAAAATAAAATTCAGACCTTACCTTAGCTTTGGCGCTTTCAACATAGTATTTTAGTGCTCGTTTTCTGGATTCGGCGGATCAGCGATAGGTTTCTTGTGAGGGAAATCTCGTGGCACGCCACCGGCTTCAAATATTTCTTTTTGTTAAGCGCTCACAGAAGAACTAAAGGGATAGTTTAAATAAAGAAACGAAGATTAGACGTTTCCTATATGCGTATAACCTCAAAATGTGACTAAATGCATTGCATTACATAAAATAAAGTCTAATAGGTAGCAGATAACATTAGTTCTGCACTTAATTTAAGATGGCCTCTAAAGCAAAAGATACAACCTACCTAATGACAACAACAAACTTCTTTAAACCAAACAAGATTGCCAAGTAACTCAGAAAAACTCACAATCCAATGCCGACAAGACAAATGAAGCTGCCGGGTGCAGGTCGATGTCACATCTAACGAGTCGGGAAGAAGCGGGAAGAAAATTACAAAAAAATTTTTGGCAGAACACTTATATTCTAGGCTTAAATACGAAGTTGCGACGCAAATTTGGAAACGCTACCGTAGTTAGGTCAAGCTTTACCCTAAAACACGCGCTTTTCCTTCCCGTCTGAAAAATATTTTCATTTGTCACTTGGACATTTGCTCGGCGTTGCTTTTAGATTTTTGTCCGTGTTTGGTGTTTTCATGATTTAAACCTCTTATTTATTTGGTACTTTGGTGGTTGGGAGGGACCATTTTTATCCTGGCTTAGTTGGATCTAATTTTTTTGAGTGGTTTTATTGATGTCTTTTATCTATTATAGGATAATCAAATATGCTTAATAGATTAGTGACTATTTTAGCAAGTTTTTGGCAATTCTAGCCTAATCTCATGTATTAACCACCAAACGCTACCGCGAAGCTGCTTACAATTGAAAATCAAATAAAAGCGGCAATATGAAACTTGAAACATGTTGTAAATGCTCTAAAAGTATAAGCATATTTGATAGATGGATAAAAGATATCAATACAACCATTCAAAAAACTAGTTCCAACTATGCCAGGATAAAAGTGGTCCCTCTCAACCACCAAAGTACCATTCATTTTTTTCAGGGAAAATGGTTGCGACAAGTGCCAAAGACGTGGACAGCGCCGAAGTCGTGAAACATATCGCCCACTTCCTGAAGAAATCGGGCAAAGTGAAGCTGCCCGAAGGCGCCGATCTCGTCAAACTAGGGCAGTCCAAGGAGTTGGCTCCCATCGACCCCGATTGGTACTACATTCGATGTGCCGCCATCGCTCGAAGACTCTATTCACGTCCCACAGGTATTGCTTTGATTTTGCTTAAACTTTTGGCCAGTTGGTTATCTAGCTTTGCTTGTTTAGAGTTTGCATGCGTCATTTTTAGGGTTTTAGGCAATTAACCTTTTTATTATTTTTAAAAACAGAAGTGAACGTTTACTATAAGGCTAAAAAGTGAGGCTTTCTGTTTTGAGCAGACGGCAAAATGGTTATGGAAACTTTGGAATTGGAGTGAACCCAATTTTGGGTTTATTTTTAAATGATTCATTCTGTACATCCCATTAATGTTTTATTTTAGGTGTCGGCGGTCTTCGAAAGATCTACGGAGGCAAGCTTCGACGCGGCGTTCAACCAAATCACTGGATTGCTGGATGCGGCTCCGTCTGCCGAAGAGCCCTTCAGACGTTGGAACACCTTAAATGGGTGCAGAAGGGCCCAGAAGGAAAAGGACGTATCATTTCAAAGCAGGTATCAATTTAACGTGAATACTAATGAGTTCGTCATAAACCTTTCATTCGTCTTATAATGTGAATATAAAGGAACTCTTACTAGTATCGACTGATGTGTAATAAAAAATGTCTTGCCTTTATAAGTTGCCCACAATTTAAAGTCCTTGTACTCAATAGTGTAGAAATCAAGCGGAAAATAAATTAGTAAAAGTACCATTTCTTTGCTTTAGGGACGCAAGGATTTGGACCGAATCGCAGCAGATGCGAAATCGAAACAAGTGGCCGAACAGTATTAATTCTTGATTTTCATGATAAATTGTTGTTTGTTATTTTTTGATCAATAAAATGAGAAAGTAGATTCCCACCAATGGACTCTGTCAAAAAGATACTGGGGTGCGGGAGACATCGGAATAGAATTCACAAATTTTACCAGTCGTTGAGTTCCAACACGTTTCTGCGGGTAACATTAGGAACAGCTCGGTTTAAGCACTATATTTTGTTTCCAATTTCAATAGATTCTTTCATGGGTACGTGTTTAGAAACCATTTATTTCCCCGAAAAAGGCTTTATTCGCCTCATGCACAAAAAAATCGCATGTTGAGGGCTATTTTGAAGAGTTGAGGCGTCGTTCGCACACCGTCTAGAAGAAGGCGTCGGGGCTGAGTACTCCAGATGGTACTTGAGGTGGTCCTTCCTGTTCTGGCTTCAGCTTTCCGACGTTTTTGTTTTGGTGGTCGACAGCTTGTTTACGCTGTTTGATCACTTCATTCAATTCCTTCATTTTCGGCTTAAAAGGACGATGATCGAAGTAAAAAAATCAAGTCTTAACTTATAAACATGGAAATACTTACAAATGGCATATCGACGTGATTTGGATTGCGATTCTGGAAAATTCCTTCTTTCTCGTAAGGCGTGCCTTGATAGAGTTGTTCCTAAAGTAAAACCGATTCAGTGAGTGCAAACTTGAAATGAAATTGATACCGGAAAAGCATACCTGAACCATGGCAACGGCAAGTCTTGCAAGTAGTCGAATATCCGGTCGGTTGATCTCCTGTTTGTGGGGCACCGCAAGCTATAAAGTAAATGAAAATATGCTAATACTGATAATATCAATTTATAAAGTCACGTCTATTAGAAAGGTTTTATGTCAAAAAAAAACAAGTAAAACGGTAAAACACTTACTTTAACATCGACGCTTTCGGGCGATTCGATCGGAGTCTGGTATTCGTCGTTGTTCAATTTCTCGTTCAAGGTCGAATTCTTGACTGCCGAATACTTCAAGTCGGGTGTCCCATCGGCATGGTTTGAAGGTAGGATGTGAGCCGAAGAACTGAAAACAAAAAAAAAATATATTTTTATAGAAAAACAGCCGACTTGACCCGCGTTACAACGGACTTAAAGGAATTTCTTAATGAATTAGCTTTTTGTTTCAAAACGCCCATGAAAATGATGAAATTGCTTTGCTTGCTTTGCTCCACAGCTGAAATCTTTGCTCAAAAAGCTGATCATTGCATATTGCATAAACTAGCAACAAACTAGCAACAAAAAAATTACACCAGCACTTTTACTAGAAAAACTTTTGCAAAAAAAAAACAGTTGGAAAGATTTCAGCGGGAAATTAAGAATCTCATCATATCTCAAATTTCAAAGTATTTAGTGAATGCCTAAATGAGAAATGGCTAAATTTCTCCAGATTTCCCCAACCGATCACCAGATTTCAAAAAGTTCTTTTATGGATTTGTTGCTAGTAAAGATTTATGCAATAATGCAATATGCAATAATGCAATATGCAATAATGCATTATGCAATAATCAGCTTTTTGAGCAAAGTTTTCAGCTGTGGAGCAAACGATTTCAAGCAATTTCAAGCAATTTCATCATTTTCATGGGCTTTTTCAATCAAAAAGCTAATTCATTAAGAAATTTCAAGCTTTATAGCTTCAAATGATGCTCAAAACTCAAAAAACATATTGATAAATATGTTTGTTGAGTTTTGAGAATCATTTTTTCACTGAAACCTTTGAATAGAACCATGTTGATTAAGAAAATGTCGAGCTAATAGAAATTTGGCTCAAAAGAAAATCAAAGTTGATTTGACTCGAATGATCGAAAAGTTTCTTCATCATTTTATGTCAAATAAAAAAGTTGCCTCTTATTAGCTTGAGTTCATAACTTTTCAATCTAAACAAACGGAAATTCGAGAAATTGGTGAAGAAATTTACATGGGTTAGCCATTTCATACGCATTGACCCAATATTTCCCAACATGCTCATCAGTTAAAAGCTTCTATGGTAAAATCTTATCGACAGGCTTGTTCCAAAAAGCTTGCAAAAGCCCGCCTGCGAACTTTCCCCTTTGATTTGATGACTTTCCCAGAATTTCTGAAAGTTTGCCTCAAATCACTTGAGTGGTTTTTAGAGATTTTCTATCCAAATTACTTTTTAGTTTTTGAAAAAAGCTCAATGTATTTCTATGTTCAATTTTGAAAAGCCTGTTCTATTAGCCTGTTCTATATTACTTCTATAATAGCCTGTTCTATATTACTTCTATATTAGCCTGCTCTATATTAGTTCTATATTAGCCTGTTCTATAGAACAGGCTTTTCAAGGCTAAACATAAAAATTCTTTACATTGAGCTTTTTTCAAAAAGCCTTGAAAAGCCAAAAAGCCTATTATTGATACCTTGAAAAGCCTGTTCTATAGAACAGGCTAATATAGAACTAATATAGAAGAGGCTAATAGAAAAGGCTTTTCAAGATTAAACATAGAATACATTGAGCTTTTTTCAAAAACTAAAAAGTAATTTGAATAGAAAATCTCTAAAAACCACTCAAGTGATTTGAGGCAAACTTTCAGAAATTCTGGGAAAGTGATCAAATCAAAGGGGAAAGTTCGCAGGCGGGCTTTTGCAAGCTTTTTGGAACAAGCCTGTCGATAAGATTTTACCATAGAAGCTTTTAACTGATGAGCATGTTGGAAATATTGGGTCAATGCATATGAAATGGCTAGTCCATGGAAATTTCTTCACCAATTTCCGTTTGTTTAGATTGAAAAGTTATGATCTCAAGCTAATAACAGGAAACTTGCAAGCCTTTTGGAACAACCCTGGTCAAAATTGAAACAAAGGCAAAAAAAGGCAACACAACAACAAAACAAAGGCAAAAACTCACAGTCCAATGACGAGAAGACAAATGAAGCCGACGAGTGCAGGTCGATGTTCCATCTTGCGAATCGAGAAGAAGCGAGAAGCGAGAAGCGAATAATGAAAATTTTTGAGGAGAGCGGTTATATTTGAGAATAAAATGCAAATTTGCCAAAATTAAGATGCTAATTTGTGCTCTGCTCAATCTCCTCAAAATCTCTTTGCTATTGATCATTTTTCTTGTATATTTTTGCGTATTTCTTCAGCAAAGTACTTTATTTCTCCAAAAAAAAACCGAGTCAAACCGTAATTCCGCTGTATAACAATACTTTTATGGGCAAGAAAAGTGAAACTTTAGAGAGTGTGGGGCAAAGAAAGGGTGGTGATTTAAAAATAGAAAAACAAAAAAAACTTTGACAAGCGAAAATGAGATCAAAGTGGGCAAAAGGTTGAGAGTGAGAAAGAAGAAGAAGAAAAAAAGAGAGAAAAACAATGGGTGGAAATCATTTTTGAGAGGAAAGAAGCACCGTGGGGGAATCAGTGTTGAACCCGAATTATTCTTTGACACACACACACAAATATTTTATCAGACGGCAAACGGTCAGACCGTTCAACGTTTTTCGCGTCAAAAGATACCGTACTTTTTGGATGAGAGATGTAAAGTTGAGGTCACGATTGTAAAAGGTCCTTGTAACTCTTGATTTGATGTCGCGTATGTCGACACGCGTATTTCCCACCTTTTATACGCGCTCCGCACACTTTGCCATTGGCAATCCAACTTTGAGCTCGAATATCTCGGTGTTGGGCTGTTCAATTGAAATAGTTTTTGTACCAATTGGTAGAGAAAGACCTGGCGCATCTAATGATACCAAAACTATTTAAATTGGACAGCTCAACACCGAGATATTTGAGCCTAAAGTTAGATTGACAATGGCAAAAGGGACGGGTCGTCTGATAATCTTAAAAATGCCGAATATTTCATCGCACTACATGGCGAATTAAAATACACATCTCAAAAAGTACAGTATCCGATCAAATTTACAAAGAAAATCTACAAAATAGGGAGCTATCAGGAGGTTTGACTGTCCCTCTCTTTGATCGTTTCCAATCGGTGATTCCCATTTGATTGCATCGATTCTTTACTCGGCGATTTCGCCGTCGTCGTCGTCGTTGTTGTTGTTGTTGTTGTTCCATTCAGCTCTTCCATTGGAACGCCTAAATCTCGTTTCAACTCGCATTCGAAGATCTCGTTTTTATTCCCGATTTTATTTTCTTTCAAATGCAAAAGCTCAAATCCGAGTCAGCCTCTGTTTTTTTTTTGAAACGTATTCACTAACCACTTGACCAAGCATTGGTTCTTTCGACTTGACCAAGCATTTTTCAGATCTGTATTGATCATCGTTTTTAGCCGTAAAGTCAAACAGACAGACGCGGCTCTTTTGATACCGTATTTCTTCGAATAGAAGACCGGGTAAAGAGTATCATCGCGTACTCCGCGTACTCCGCGTACTCCTGCGTAGCAGCCCTTTTTAAAATTTCTTTTCTGCATAAAAGCTTTCAATGAAGTGCTATAGGGCTGGAAAATGACTCAAAAATATCACATGAGCTAACAGATTTTTGAGTCATTTTCCAGCTCTATAGCACTTCATTGAAAGCTTTTATGCAGAAAAGAAATTTTAAAAAGGGCTGCTACGCAGGAGTACGCGATGATACTCTTTACCCGGCCTTCTATACGGTAAGTACGGTAAGTTCGATACGGTAAGTTCACTTCAAAGATATGAATCAAAAAAAAAGAGCAAAAATGTTATTGATTCAAGCAAAAGCGGGTTAGTCTTTGGGTGGGTAAAAATTGGAGTTGACGTTACGGTATCTGCTAGATTGTGTTCTTTTCCAATAATACGTTTTCTAAAGCATGTCAGCCTTTGAAAACTACCGTAATCTTGCCTTTAGCATCTTTATAAATCTTTACAGTATTAAAGAGACTTGCTTATCGATATTATTGATACAAACGGCAAGCTCATATTGGATCGTTCAGCTCTCAGTTTCTAGAACAGCTATTAATCTGAAGAATTGTTTCATTGGAAAGCTAAGAATCTCAGCTTTCGATTTCTATTTTATACATAGCGACTTTTAATGACTTTTAATACTTATCGATATCGAAGGATCGATAGCGAAAGTATCGATATCGAAACTATCGATTATCGTTAAGCTTATCAATGTTTGAGTATCGAATAGCTAAGCTTTTTGAGGCGCTTATCTATGAGAATTTGCTATTTGTGAAATAACAATCGAAAGCTGAGATTCTTGGCTTTCCAATGAAACAATTTGCAGATTGATAGCTATTCTAGAAACCGAGAACTGAACAGTTAAACATGAGCTTGCCGTTTGTATCAATAATATCGATAAGCAAGTCTAGTATCAAACTAAACATAAGAAAAAATTATAAGCAAGATTTCGATAGTTTATAAGCAAGGTTTCGGTAGTTTTTAAGAGTTGATAAAGTTTAGAAAACGCATTACTCGAGAGGAAAACCTCTATTCACTACAGTATGCTGGAAGAAGAAGCATCGTAGCACTGAACATCTGTTAAATTCTTCAATCGAAGTCAAAGATTGACTTTGATTGAGTCAAAGATTCAGTCCCAATGCTTAAAGGCTTTCTATAATATGCCAGGAATACTGTAGTGAAGTAGAATCCAGACAATAAGATTTACAATCAAAGTTAATTAGGAATAATCTTCCTAGCAATTACCACATCTTCTTAGCAATTGCCACATCTTCCCAGCAATTACCAGGAAGATGTAGCGTTTCAACCTCTTCGTCAATAATCGATCTTCCTCAATAATCGATCTTTTTCTTCACCTCTCACCTAATCGATGATTACTGGAGGTTCGGTTCTCCGGCGGTACATAGGTTCGCTCAGTGTGGGTGTGAGGAAACTCAGTTTCAAACCGCTGGCGACGATTTCTGAACTGAAGCCGATTAACGTCAAAATCTCTGTTCAAGTTGGTGCGATTTCCACGACACCGGGAGACCCATGCTTTTTTCTCTCCAAACACAAAGGTTTCAAAGAAATGCAGCAATCGAGATAGATTTGAGAAGAGTTTTTATAATAAACATTCCATTCCGGTTTTTTGTTTTCTCGTTGAGGAAAACATTGACACGCTCGCAAGTGAACCCACATGAAATAGCCGGTGATCGGCACTTTCGAGAGTTGACGCTTCACAGCATTCTGGATCTCGCTGTTGAGAAAACAGTAGAGAACGGCGATGAAAATTCCCTGAAAAAGTGGCTAGACTTTGAAAGGATTAAAGTAATTGTTGAAATTGTTAACTTAACAGTCTACGAGTTGGTAACTGAACAGTCTACGAGTACTGGACCTACGAGTACCTGCGAGTGCTGGAGTATGGCTGATCCCAGCATGTAGACACTTGATGGTTGTTCTGGTTCGTAAAACAGTGGAATATTCGAAATCCCTAGCAATGGCACGAGCAGCAGAGTGGCTTTGATCGTTCGCCTAAACTTTGCTATTGTATACTTTTGCTTTGCTTTTGTTCTCTTGTGACTAGAGCGTGTTTTTTGCGAGTAAGTTTGTTGGCTAGACTGCAGTTTATCCCTTTGGCTAGATTGCAGTTTATCCCTTTGGCTAGACTGCAGTTTATCCCTTTGGCTAGATTGCAGTTTATCCCTTTGGCTAGACTGCAGTTTATCCCTTTGGCTAGATTGCAGTTTATCCCTTTGGCTAGATTGCAGTTTATCCCTTTGGCTAGATTGTAGTTTATCCCTTTGGCTAGATTGCAGTTTATCTCTTTGGCTAGACTTCAGTTTATCAATTTGGCTAGACTGCAGTTTATCCATTTGGCTAGACTGCAGTTTATCCCTTTGGCTAGACTGCAGTTTATCCCTTTGGCTAGACTGCAGTTTATTCCTTTGGCTAGACTGGAGTTTATCCCTTTGGCTAGACTGGAGTTTATCCCTTTGGCTAGATTGCAGTTTATCCCTTTGGCTAGACTTCCTTATCCCTTTGGCTAGACTGCAGTTTATCTCCTCTCCCCAGCCAACACCAGGTCACACAGATCAACACCTCTGCGCGGCTCTCCTTGTGGCTGACCCGCTATTTACCTAGACGTTGGCTTCGCACATACAGCGGTGCCGTAGGCGACGCTCGTGAGAGCTTGCAGCACATTTGCCTGCCCGCACCGGTCTATAGAGACTGCCTATAGGTATCGCTTTTTTTGTGGTTTGTGTCTGGGTTAGACGAAGCGCGAGCCTAACCCAGACACAAAACAAACAAAACACGATACCTATAGGCAGGTGAAGCCGGTGCAAAGGCCACAAAAAAACGACCGTTTATCAAATTTTGCAAAAAATTCCCGTATTTGGCGATGAGATGCAGATTTTCGTAATCAGCGCAAAAAAACGAAGTCAGAAAAACCACTTTTGGTTGTCATTGGCGAAATTGTCATTTGTAAACTGCAGCCTTACCAGTTTGCGAGTAGCTTTGAGAGTAATTTTCACTCAATTAACCGAGTAATCCTCTTTACAGGTCGAGCTTTTGCCGGGTAACTACGAGGAATCCTCTTTACACGTCGAGTAACTTGAATATCTTTACATTTGACGGGAATTTGCCACCAAGTTAGTTAAGCAGTCTAGCCAACAAACTTACCGCCCATTTTTTTCCCAAGTGTTCGTTTTAAAAAAAAAACGCATTACTCGCGAGGAACACTGTCTACTTGTGATCTTAGGACGTGGAAGCTTGTCAACGTGCTTGTCTTGTCTTGTCAAGACGAGAGACGACCCCGAATTTGGGGTCAGGCTGTACAAATTGGAAAAGGAAAGCTTCGACTCTGAAGTTTTACACTCAGAAACAAAGCTGGGACAACAATTTTGAATGACAAGACAAGATTTGAATGACAAGGTTTGAATGACAAGATTTGAATGACAAGATCAGGCTGGATTGGTCCGAATCGGCTATTCTGGAATGGACAATGGGACAACAATGGGTCGAGGACAATGGCTTACAATTAGGTACTTGCTAAATAAGTGGTCTAGATAAGTGGATTACGGTATCTAGTCCAGATTATGATATTCAGGCTAGATTAGTGGATTACCCGATTTGGTCTAGATCATGATATTCAGTTTAGATTATGATATTCAGTCTAGATTATGATATTCAGTCTAGATTAGTGTTCAAATTTGAATCCTGTATAGCTTGGGAAGCATGCAAGCACACTTTCTACAAGTACATTTCTTCTTAAACATCAAAGTCATCAAAGTTTCAAACAAAATCAAAGCTCACAAACCAGATTTTCTTTGACTCAGCCGAGTTCTCCGTTCGCAACTTCTGCACCAAGATGATGACGATGCCGAGTAGAAATAGGAGGTTTAACTAAGGTTTTCTAGTGAATTTAAAATGCGTCCAACAACTCACTATTAGCGCTAATCCCATTGTGCCAGCCAATATCCATAAATGAGTTCCCTGAGCGTACGGTAGCCAGCAAAAGGAATTCGAATTTTGGCTCGATTTGTGGTTGTGTATGATCGTCCACGCACTCACCACCACAACGGGAACACCTTTAATTTCAGCAAATGGTTTTCGTTTTGGGTTTTAGAATCTAGATTTGATCTTTAGTCAATAGTTGAATTGACTAACCCCATCCACAGAGCATATAAACAGAATAGGGCGCGTCATTGTGCCGCATCGCATAAACGGTGAATCGACTGTACAAATAGGCGCCCTCTATCAACATCCACATCACCGAAGCCACCTAAAAAGTAGATAGAAGGTCTGGCTGTCGTACTGAAACCGTTAGCAGTAAGATTTTAATCATATTATTGCACTATACCATTAAAAACCGTTCAGTAAAGTCGACAAGGTACGTGAAAAGTTTTGTCCTCTCTTAAAAGACCATTTTTACAATATTTTATAAAGTTTCCAAGACTCAAAACCTACAAAACTAGATTTTTCAAGTATTTTTAGTATTAGAAATTGCTTTCTATCTTCTATTTTATCCATTTAGAGAATTTTATAAAACTTTTTATGACAAGGTTTGAGGTATTCTCTGGTCGCAGGTCAAAATCGCTTTTCTAAACACTTTTTTTTGATCTGTCTTCGCATTCAGGTGTTCCTATTTGCGCAGATCACAACCTACTTCCACATTTCTCTATCCCTTGCTATTTTCATCCAGTGTTTTCTATCTTGGTTGTCCTTGGTTCGAAGCCTTCGACTTGCTTGTGCTGGTGGTGGTTGCACTCTAGTCATCCTTTCTCTGACCGTCCCTGCCATCTCTGCCACTCTTGTGCTCCACCTCATTGCTGGTCTTCCGATGGGCCGATGGGCCTCTTCTGGTCTCCTGCCAGCCACTCTGTAATCCGTATCGTCCATCAGTCTTCTGTTCTTCTGGTCTCGTGCCAGCCACTCTGTAATCCGTATCGTCCATCAGTCTTCCCTGTTCTTCTGAGTCCCGTGCCAGCCACCTGTAATCCGTATTCGTCCATCAGTCTTCTGTTCTTCTGGTCTCGTGCCAGCCACTCTGTAATCCGTATCGTCCATCAGTCTTCTGCTCTTCTGGTCTCGTGCCAGCCACTCTGTAATCCGTATCGTCCATCAGTCTTCTGCTCTTCTGGTCCCGTGCCGGAGCCACTCTGTAATCCGTATCGTCCATCAGTCTTCTGCTCTTCTGGTCTCGTGCCAGCCACTCTGTAATCCGTATCGTCCATCAGTCTTCTGCTCTTCTGGTCTCGTGCCAGCCACTCTGTAATCCGTATCGTCCATCAGTCTTCTGCTCTTCTGGTCTCGTGCCAGCCACTCTGTAATCCGTATCGTCCATCAGTCTTCTGTTCTTCTGGCTACGTGGCCGGCCCATCTGAGTCTTTTTAAACACTTTTCTAAATGTTTATTTCACTAAAAAATTCTCCTGTGGACTTTTTAGCATTGTTCACATCTGGCTAGCCATATTTTTGTAAGAAATTTTGCTTCTACAGTCCGGATTTTGTTTGAAAAGAGGTGACGAAAATTACATCAAATCTTAAAACTGCAAAAGTCGATTTGAACCTTAAATGAAGATGAGAATGCTCAACTGCAACTTCAAAACCGTAATAAATTATTAAAAAAAATGTTTTTATAGCTAAATAGTTACTAATAACTTTTGAAAATAGCAAATTCTAATTTGCTACGAAGCTAGGAAAGCGATTTTGGCCTTGATTGGCATTAAAATCTTTTCATTAAAAGTTCTATCAAATTTTCTAGTAAAATCGAAGATATAAAACTATTTTCTAATCCTAAAAATACTTGAAAAATCCAGTTTTTTAAGTTTTGAGTCTTGGAAACTTCATAAAGTATGGCAAAAGTGACCTTTTAGGAGGGGACAGAGCTTTTCACGCTCCCTGTAGTAGGCAGTATAGAAATCTCTTTTGAAATTCTCTCACTTGGAAGTAGATGACGAACCAGAGGATGATCTTGCAAGCGATGTCCTGAAAATGTAGTTTTATCGGAGTTTAGTTTATTTTATCGGAGTTTAAAAAGAAGAAATCTGCTCGAACTGTTGACAGAAACAATCCTGTTTTGAACTGATAAACTGTTGCATGATGAACTGTTACATCTTGCAAGTTTCCATCAGCGATGGGCCAATCCGGATCTGGACCTCTACACAAGCATATAAAGAACGAAAAGACGACTACGTGACACTACTAAACGCCTACGTGACAGTACTATAAAGTGTCTGTTGAAGTGTCGCGTAGTCGTTTTTTTTTCGTTCTTTCCATAACCAAATTTAATGAGGATCATTTCAAAATCAATCTTAAGTCGATCTGATAATTTAATCTGATAGAGTAGAATAGAAAAGTGCGCTAAAGTGCCATTTTGACTTTAGAAAAACGGCACTTTAGCGCACTAATCTTCAAGACGGGTTTTCTTTTTCTTGTTTTTATCCATGAGTATACAAAACAAATTTTATATTTCTTTAATCAAATTTCATGTAGATTCTAATAATAATGACCCTGAGTTGATTCAACTTTTACATCTTCAGTTATAGACCATTTAAGTGGATTGACCCTTTCAGGTAGGTCGTCTGACTTTAAGTGAAATTTTCTCTATGTTTTTACATTAGTGTGTAGTAAATAAATTGTGGATTTCTATAACGAAATTTCATAAGGAACATTTTAAGACCAACCACAAGTCGATTCGACAATTAGAAGTCGAGATATGGAGGAAAAGAGAAGAGTCGTCAAACTCCGACTCTCTACCCCCCCTAGAAAAATCTCTAGGGGGGTAGACACTTATCTCGACTTTGACCCTAATTTTCTCTATGTTTTTATCGGTAAGTCTACAAAACAAGTTCCACTTTTCCTTAGTCAAATTTAATGAAGACTCTTTTAAAAGCAATCACAAATCGATTCAACTTCTATACCTCGAGTTATAGCCCATCTAAGTTGATCGACTTTGGTGGGTAGGTAAGTCAACTTTGACAGAAGTTTTCTCGATGTTCTTACACTTGAGTATACAAAAAAATTGTAGTTTATGCTTGTGTAGAGATCCGGAAACGGAACCGCCGATCTCTTGTTTCAATCACATCCCTTTCCCATTTGTAGCTTCATTCTTGACCCACTAGTTCCCATTCCTTTGTCTATTTATGTCTAGATCGAGAAAAAGCAATGAGAAACAACTAATCTCTAGATTATAAGTCATTCTTTTCAAAGGAAAAGGAAGAAAAGCATTTGAGTCAAAAGCATTGAAAAATGTGACTCAAAATAAAGCGCTATCTCTAAACAAAGCTCTATCTCTAAACAAAGCTCTATCTCTAAACAAAGCTCTATCTCTAAACAAAGCTCTATCTCTAAACAAAGCTCTATCTCTAAATCTATTCAACTCAATGATGGGTTAAGACTACCTTTTGGTTCCAGAAAAGTCTTTCTTTTTCTATATTCCTATGAAAATTTAGAATCCATTGAGAAGATTTCGATCTTTATTCGAATTTGAATTATATCCACACCAATTTCAGCACTCTAACCATTTTGAAAGTCGAAAATCGTACTTGTTTGCTTTCAAAAAGACGCCAAATTTCAGCCAATTTCAGCCAAACTTTCCACCCGAACCGACGGACCGACCGACCCTAATTAATTAATCTATTTTTCCAGCCCCCACCCGAGCACCTATTACCCAAATATTTACCCCATTTCCCAGCAGAATCACGAAAATTGACATGAAATAGCGTCACGCTAGGGACCCAATTATGAGCCTTAAAGAGCGTTCACTCAAAAATTCCATTCATCGTTCATGGCTAGAAAAAACTTTTGCGAACAACTTACTAAATGCATTTTCGGCCTTGGTAAAAAACCAGTGCAATCCTGGAAAACGAAAGATGTTTGCGTGATTGTCCACAAAGCCAACACGGCGAATCGAAAGACGAAAGCGACGGCGAGATTTTTGTGGATCGATAACCTGAAATTGAAAGCTGAACTGGTAAAATGTAGAAAACGAAAAAGTCAGCGGCACTACGGGGGATTGAACCTGCACCCCCCTGGGCTGTAGACGAGCGCGCTACCGACTGTGCCACGGTGACATAGTGAAGGGTGGCGGTTAGGCGGGTTTTTCATCTGCTCACTACCAATGTTTAAATGCCAGCCAAAAAATCAACCTAATGGCGGGTTTTGAGCTGAATTTTTTGAGGAAAACGCGTTGAGGCCGTGGCGCAGTTGGGAGCACGCTTGTCTACAACCCACACGATCAGGGTTCGACTCCCGGCTCTGCCATGGGTTTTTTTTTTCAAAAATGCACGAAAGAATGCACGATTTAGATTCAATCTAAATCTTATATAGATTGAAATTTCGCATCTATTCTGTTAACGCTAATAAATTGTTTCATAGTTGGGTTTTCTTTTCAGAAAAAGACAGTAACAGACCTTTGAAAAATGCAGAAAACTACAGAAAACGCTTAAGAACATATATTAAGCATGTTTATATTATTGTTCAATCTATATAAGATTTAGATTGAATCGAAATCGGACGTCCGATCTAGACTGTAATCTAAATCGGACGTCCGCGATAAGTTCAATCTAAAGCGGACGTCCGATCTAGACTGTAATCTAAATCGGACACAACATATACAATAGCAGATATTTCAAACACCCACCTCCTGCATTGAATCGAGTCAAAAATCGAGAATAAAATGATTGCCGCCAAAAGGAGTATCACAGAAACAATCGATAGTGTCAATGAGGCGGAGATCACCAAATCACGAAGAAGATCGGGACACTGCATTTTTTTGTGATACAGGATTATTTTTGTGACTCACTGAATGACAAAAGCCGACCACACATTGTTTATAATCGCTTAACAGAGCCAAACACTGATTGTAATCCGAGTTATTCCAGCCTCGTTCTGTGCACGTTCGAGTGACCATGAAAGTTTCTAAAAGTCGTTATTTAATAAAATAAAGGTCAAGATTAAATCGCTTGTCCTGTTTGGTTGTTTGGTTTTTGTGCAAAATCTTGGTTGCAAGTAGCAGTGAAGCACGCGACTCTTGGGGAGTTGTAGCCTATCCTGGCCTGGCTTGGACTTAGTGCGAAGGCTAGCGGCTAGCGCCTCGCACTAAGTCTATTTGGGTTTGGGCTGAACCCCCATTTTCTGGATCTCAGCCGGTTCCCGGAGCTAAGGTGTAAGCTATTGCCCTTGTTTAGGCTTAGGCTTAGGCTTAGGCCTTGATGGCTTTACCCATGATTAGTCTAAACACGTGAGTCTGCTATGTTATCTAGAAATCTTTAATTTAATTCTAAGTAGCTTGTAACTTGAGAAAAACTAATGCTAAAATTACTGTAGCTTTTGAAAACTTTAGAAAAGTATAGAAAAGTATAGAAAGTATAGAAAAGTATAGAAAAGTCTGTAGCCGAGAGAAACGCAGTGAAATTTGGCTCTAAGAGTTCAGTAATCAGTACAGTACTTCTTTATGCAAATAAAGCTAAACAAAACTCACTTGACACATCCTCACATCCAGGGATTTCTGTACAATAAGTGAATGGGCACAGCCTCTGCACTTGTTCGCCCACTTGAGCCGGTAGCCAGCACAACGATTTGTCGAAGCTCACTCCACAACTGAAATTGATAAGCTAACGTTCAAGTCTAACCTTTAAGCTAACATTTTAAAGTCTTCTTTGCAACTCTTTAATATTTTCTGTTTTGCCGTCTTTTCTTTTATTCTTCCTTTCCCACTTCCTGCTTCTCAAAAATTCTTTTCCTTGAAGGGAAATGGAGGGAAAATGATGTGAAAATGAAGATCTTCGGGTTTGGCTAATGGCCCAGCTGGGTTCCACTCATGATCACCTCGAATTTCTCTCTCTCAATCTCAGGAACAACAAGTGCTTTTAGAATCAATTTCCAGAGTCAATTTCCTGTTAATCTCTCCAAAAACTTCCTAAACTTCCTAAATTTCCTAAATTTCCATAAATAGAAATGCAATTTTTGATTTGAAAATGAAAAGTGAACTGATTTATGAGCTTTAAAAAGCTCTAGAAAGAGGAAGTTGATTTTTGGAGTGCTTAGAGTGTTATTGGGAGATGAAAGCTGAAGTAAAGCTTTGTTTAGCTCAGTATTCAGCACTGATTTGAGGCTGATTCGAGGTGATCATGAGCTCAGTACTCTTGTCGCAAAGCTAAAGAAAATCTGATGCACACAAGTAGTACCTTTTTGCGTTGTTTATGTACTCGCTTCTTCTAGACTTTCCCTATTTCACAATCTCCCTTTTTGACTTGAGTAGAAGTGCTAAAGAATTGAAGATTCTCCAGAAAAGCCCTTTTCCAATCTTTCTCCCATCAATTCAAATGAGGTTTGATCTCTGGGAGGGAAAAAGAGAAGAATTTTCTCGGAAATCTCTTCTTGTTTTTTGTGTGTCTTCTATAGCAATCATAGAAAGAAATCTTTGCAAAAGGATAGTGATTTCAGTGAAATTTTAGAGATGGAGTTTGAAAGGTTAAAATTGGGAAGAAAAAGGTCAATTCAGGACTGATTTGAGGCTGATCCAAGGCAGAATCAAGGCAGAATCAAGGCCGATTCAAGGATCGATTCAAGGATCGATTCAAGATCGATTCAAGGATCGATTCAAGGTCGATTCAAGGCCGAATCAAGGCCGATTCAAGATCGATTCAAGGCCGAATCAAGGCCGATTCAAGATCGATTCAAGGTCGATTCAAGGCCGAATCAAGGCCGATTCAAGATCGATTCAAGGTCGATTCAAGGCCGAATCAAGGCCGATTCAAGGCCGAATCAAGGCCGATTCAAGGATCGATTCAAGGTCGATTCAAGATCGATTCGTCCAACCAACTATAACCACCAACGTCTTAAACCAAAGCTAAGTAGCTGAGCCAAGTTTTAGTTTTTTTAAAATGGCAATTGTTCGACTAACTTATAGATTTCTGGATAAATTAAGTCAAAGTTGGTAAACTATAGATTCTAGCTGGAGCTAGATCAAAGCTATCTAGATCAAAGCTAGATCAAAGCTAGATCAAAGCTAGATCAAAGCTAGATCAAAGCTAGATCAAAGCTAGATCAAAGCTAGATCAAAGCTAGCTAGACTAAATCAAAGCTTGCTTCTTTTAGTTACCCAGTTGATTTCCTTAAAAGAATCAAAAGCTAAAGCTAAAGCTTGAGATGAGATTCTATGAGATTCTCATAGAAAAGAGATGAACAGTTGGAAGATCCCAGATTGGCCTAGAATCGGCCTTGCATAGGCTGCGAATTGGCCTAGAATCGATCTTGAATCGATCTTGAATCGATCCCTAAATCATTTGGTTGTCTAGTCTATCAAAAATGTAGTTTAAATTTCTCTTCTCTTTCTAAACATGAGTTTTGAGAAAGTTTTTGAGTTTAGTCGAAAAAAATCATCCCATAAAAATAACAACAAAACAAAAGCGATGTCTACATCCTAAAGCTTTATTGGTTATTTATGCATAAGATGTTCCCCACTTTGTCCTTTCCTTTCTTTTTCCAACTTTAGCTATTCTTTTTTTTTTAAGGTAAAGCTCTCTTTCTCTATAGAAAAAGACACATTCCGACCTTTTGAATCTATTTTGAGGTGCCCAGCTTTTGCTTTTTGCTAAAGAAAAGAGGTTCCGAAATAAGAAATATGGATTTTCGTTGAGACATTCATCAAGGAGATTGAAAGAAAAAGTCACCATTTGGAAAAGAGAATGAATTTGTTTGAGTAAAAGTTTGAACTTAAGTTCGGAAATGAATGCTTTGCTTGTATGTGGCTTTAAAAAATCTATTGAAAAATAGGTTTTTGAACGTTTTTGATCCGTAAACATGAAGTTTCAGAGTTGAAATTTAAGTTGAAAATAGTTGTAGGTTAAAAACAGTCAACTTTCATCGTTTTAAACGAAAACATGACAGTAAAATTGGCTCTAAGAGTCGCTGAAGAGTTAAAGAATGCTACAGAGTACAGTACTTCGGTCAGTACAGTAAAGTACTTTGATCAGTACAGTACTTTGGTCAGTACAGTAAAGTACTTTGGTCAGTGCAGTCCAGTACTTTGGTCAGTACAGTACAGTACTTTGGTCAGTACAGTCCAGTACTTCGGTCAGTACAGTAAAGTACTTTGGTCAGTACAGTACTTTGGTCAGTACAGTCCAGTACTTTGGTCAGTACAGTAAAGTACTTTGGTTAGTACAGTACAGTACTTTGGTCAGTACAGTACAGTACTTTGGTCAGTACAGTACAGAATACAGTACAGTACAGAATAAAGTACAGTACAGATCTATAGTTGAAGATAAAACCAAATTGCAAATTGTATGTGAATTCGGCGAACAATTCAGAACGTTTTCTTTGGAATATCTGAAACAAAACCTTACTTGATTCCTTGCTAAGACTAGAAGTTGATCTCTATGATTTTTCCTAGAGATCTCTTGATGTTTTACTTTGGTATATCTTCGGTATACTAAAGTTTCTTCTTATCCCATCATAGCCGACTAGCTAAGAGTCCTGAATCTCTTAACTTTAATAGTTTAGTTCTGATAGCTGTTCTGATAAATTTTGATAGCCGAAGATAACAATTTACTTTAGAAATGAACTTTGAACCTTCGAAAAAAACAAAAGAAATTGCGAAGTCCAAAGCGAGGGTCGAACCTGCGAGGACTAGACCAGGAAACGAGCGCCTTACCACTCGGCCATGGCTGCAGTGAGCTGGGTCCGCAAGGAGACCCTTAAGACTCCTTAAGCCAGTTGATCTTCCCTTGTTAGTCGAAAGGTCAAGAGTTCAATCCTAGATTATTGATTCTTTTGAGCTAATGGGTGGAAGGCCGTCATGGTCGACTGGCTAAGAGCCTTGTTTCTCAGTCGGAAGCTAGCTGGGAGGTCGAGGGTTCAAACCCGGTTGCTAGATTATTGGTTCTTTTTCCGATAGTTATGGGGTTTTTTTGTTCTCTACATTCAGGGCTTAAGCGTTGTGCTGTTGTTGTTGTTGTTGTTGTTGTTGTCGTTGTTGTTGTTGTTTGTACCACATTATCCATGTGAATAAATCTATTCTATGCAAAAATTCTAGAGCTAGATTGGCGTTGCAAAATTTAAACTTTCCAAAAACGCAATTTTCGCTTCCCCAAATTTGTCTGAAAGCCGAGTTTCGCAGAAAGTTGCAATTTTGAAGTTGCTATTTTTATTCTGAACATCTTTTCCAATTCTCATCACTTTCAACTCACCCATCACTCGTCGAATTCGTGGGTGTATTCGCGATCAAACTGTGGCATGTCGCCATCTCAGCTTTCACCACCGAACCCATCTTTTGAAGAAAAAAATAAAAGGGAAAGATCGACTTCAGTCAATTAAATGAATCTCTTCTTCGTCCAAGAGAAATGTTTTCTGAAAAGTTTTAAAGTGAGTTTTTGAAAGAAAGAAGAAGAAGAAGTGCAAGAAGAGGTGTTCAATGAAAGAAATGAGAACAAAAAAAACCAATTTGAATGAGATTTGAAAGATTTGAAAAAAAGACCAAGCCAAAAGATAGATTAATGCAAATTCCACAAAATTTTAATCAAGTTTTACGTCATTTAAAACCATTTGAAACCATTTGAAACCATCTAAAACCATTTAAAACCATTTAAACCCATTTAAAACCCATTTAAAACCCATTTAAAACCCATTTAAAACCCATTTAAAACCATCTAAAACCCATTTAAAACCCATTTAAAACCCATTTAAAACCATCTAAAACCATTTAAAACCATTTAAAACTATTTAAAACCATCTAAAACCATTTAAAACCATTTAAAACCCATTTAAAACCCATTTAAAACCCATTTAAAACCCATTTAAAACCATCTAAAACCATTTAAAACCATTTAAAACCATCTAAAACCCATTTAAAACCATCTAAAACCATTTAAAACCATTTAAACCCATCTAAAACCCATTTAAAACCATTTAAAACTATTTAAAACCATTTAAAACCATTTAAAACCATCTAAAACCCATTTAAAACCCATTTAAAACCCATTTAAAACCATTTAAAAACATTTTAAACCATTTAAAACCATCTAAAACCCATTTAAAACCATCTAAAACCATTTAAAACCATTTAAACCCATCTAAAACCCATTTAAAACCATCTAAAACTATTTAAAACCATTTAAAACCATTTAAAACCATTTAAAACCATCTAAAACCCATTTAAAACCCATTTAAAACCCATTTAAAACCCATTTAAAACCATTTAAAAACATTTTAAACCATTTAAAACCATCTAAAACCCATTTAAAACCATTTAAAACCCATTTAAAACCATCTAAAACCATTTAAAACCATTTAAAACCAGTTAAAACCATTTAAAAACATTTAAACCCATTTAAAACCCATTTAAAACCCATTTAAAACCATCTAAAACCATTTAAAACCATTTAAACCCATCTAAAACCCATTTAAAACCATCTAAAACCATTTAAAACCATTTAAACCCATTTAAAACCCATTTAAAACCATTTAAAACTATTTAAAACCCATTTAAAACCCATTTAAAACCCATTTAAAACCATCTAAAACCCATTTAAAACCAGTTAAACCCAGTTAAACCCAGTTAAAACCATTTAAAACCATTTAAAACCATCCAAAACCATTTAAAACCATCTAAAACCATTTAAAACCATTTACACGAACGGTCGACCCGGGCAGTATCGCCGAGAAGAGCGGACTGAGGACTGGGGGGTGATCGAATTGTGGCCGTGAATGGAGCCAGTATTTTTGAAGAGAATCATAAAAAGGTAAAAGATTTTAGATTCCTTTTTGACAGCATTAAACGAAGAAGAACTTGCTTTTCAAAGAAAAATCAGCATTTGCAAAGAAATAGCAAGAAAGAATAGCAAGAAATAAAGGCAAAAAACAATTTCGAATCTTTCTTCGATCAATTTTGATAAACGAAAACAAATTAACAACTTCTAAAGCCTCAAAAAGCTTTTTGAACTCCAATAATTACATGTCAATTTGCAAAAATAAGTTTATAGTCAAGCGGATTTGCTGAAAAAGGTGAAAAAGCTGAAAAATCTGAAAAATCTGAAAAATCTGAAAAATCTGAAACAAAGCCGATTTGAGAAGATTAATTCTTGCAAACGAAATTGAAAAAAACAAAATTATGAATAGAATTTGAAATTCTAGAAAGTGACTAAGAAAAGAAGAAAAGAAAAGAAGAAAAGCAAAGGTTTTTTTAAAAAAAGCATTAAGTTTGGCTTGAAAACGGGCAGGACTTTTTGGGTTTGAAGAGGGGAAAACGGAAATGAGACTTTAGCCTATTTTGAAGTCTTTTTTTTTCGGAGAGTTGAGGTTTTTTTTAGCTCTGGAAATGTAAAGAAAAAGGTTTATTTCAAAAAAAAACCCCACAAAACATCGCCAAAGAAGAACTTGTAAAGAACGAAATGGATACGAGACAGAAAGAGAATGGATACGAGACTACTTGGAATGGATACGAGACGATTACTTGCTCGCAATGTGCTTAATGTGCTCGCAAACGCATTTCTGCTGGCACACTGGTATAGATGTGCTTTGTGCTCTTGTAAAAATATTCTGTTAGCCTACCGATCTTGTTCCTAACTATGTGTACACTATTCTGGACACTATGCTCTAAAGAAACGCTTGTTAGCATACTAATCTTGTTTCTAACTATGTGTACTCTATGCTCTAAACAAACGCTTTCTAGCATACTAATCTTGTTCCCAACTATGCGTACTCTATGCTCTAAACAAACGCTTTCTAGCATACTAATCTCGTCCCTAGCTATGCGTACTCTATGCTCTAAAGAAACGCTTGTTAGCATACTAATATTGTTTCTAACTATGTGTACTCTATGCTCTAAGCAAATGCTTTCTAGCATACTAATCTTGTTCCCAACTATGAGTACTCTATGCTCTAAACAAACGCTTTCTAGCATACTAATCTTGTTCCCAACTATGTGTACTCTATGCTCTAAACAAACGCTTTCTAGCATACTAATCTCGTCCCTAACTATGCGTACTCTATGCTTTAAACAAACGCTTGTTAGCACGGATCTTTATCACTCTACTGGCATACTGATAAAGATTCGTGTACTGTGTGCTCTTGTAAACATATTGTGTTGGCCTACTAGTCTTGTTCCAAACTATGTGTTCACTATGCGCACTTTTTACCCTAAACAAACGCTTGCTAGCATACTAGTCTTGTTCTTTCCTATATGTACTTGAAAAAGTTGGATCTAGTACTTTTTAGCATTAGAAAAAAAGGGAATCAAGATGAAATGAGTCTCACTAGCTACTCTATGCTTTAAACATAGAGTAGCTAGTGAGTTTTAGCAAACAAGGAATCAGTATGCTAGAAAGCGTAAGTTTCTAAAGGAAAAAGTACACGAATTTTACCGTAAAACGATGTTAAACTTTCTATGCAATAAAAGCTAGAATAGTGGATTGAAAAACCTCGTCAAAAACAAAAACTTGGCAACAACTCGGTGTTGAAAGAGAGAACGATTGAAATGAGTGCGCAAAATGGCCAATTTTACTACCTCCCCAAAAATCTTCTTTATGTCTTTTTCTCGTTCAGAAAAGTGTTTGCGAAAATAAAAAAGAGAGAAACGAGAAAAGAAAACGAAGGGATTTTGGGAGCTGTTTGTGAGTTTTCTGAAAAATGAGTGAAAGAAAAAAAAGGGGAAAAAAGAGGGGAAATGAAGGGGAGAACAATTTGAACTTGAATTTGAATTTATTGAATCACCTAGAGCCTTGAATCGTCTAGAGCTTTGAATCACCTAGAGCCTTGAACCCCCTAGAGCTTTGAATCACCTAGAGCCTTGAATCATCTAGAGCCTTGAATCCCCTAGAGCCTTGAATCTCCTAGAGCCTTGAATCACCTAGAGCCTTGAATTATCTAGAGCTTTGAATCATCTAGAGCCTTGAATCACCTAGAGCCTTGAATCACCTAGAGCTTTGAATCACCTAGAGCCTTGAATCCCCTAGAGCCTTGAATCTCCTAGAGCCTTGAATCACCTAGAGCTTTGAATCATCTAGAGCCTTGAATCATCTAGAATCACCAGCGTTGAGGGAAATTCAACTAATTCAAACTCTGTTTTCTATAGATACTTTCTATAGATACTCAGGAAATGAGATAAAGTGCGCAAAGATTGATACAGATGAATTCATACACAAAAAACGAATAGCACCGTCAGCAGAAAGTCACACGGCAAGGCAACGAAAGTCAAGAGTCAACTAGAGCTGTACGATCAAGATAATCTACAGATAATTTAAAGCCTTCAACACTATCAGATTCGCTCAAAACGCTGGGGAATCGATTTCAAATTCTGGTAGTTCTTTCCGGTATTCTGGTATTCGATAAAATTTGCATTTTAATCTGGATCTGCGCTTTCAAAACCATTTTTCTGAGTCAGGGGACAGGCCCTTCTTTCAATTTTCTTTTTTTCTATAACTACGAAAGAACCTCTCAAAGTTTTAACGACTCTAAACATCCAGTTTTTGGTCTATTTTCGTCGATTGCCTTCCATTTCTCCCATCTCTCATCCTCGTAAGTCCCATTTATGACTCTGACCTTGATCAACACCCACTTTTTAAAGTTTTAACAACTCTAAACATCCTAAACACCATCACTCAAAGAAATCTACAAGAAAAAAAAAGAATAAATCAAACGGCCTTGTAAATAACTTTTTTGAAATCAAAACTATTTAACTGGTTGATTTCTTTTTTGATTAGCAAGCACTGGTTGCTCTTTTTTTTGGGAATGAGCGGCTCAAGAATTGTACTTTTCATTTCATTTCATTTTATTTCATTTTATTTCATTTTATTTCATTTTATTTCATTTTATTTCATTTTATTTCATTTCAAATTCACCTCAAAACAAATAAATCAAAAAAATCTATAAAACTTGAGCTTTTATCATTGAGAACTGGAGCTTAAACGAAAATATGAAAGTTTAAAAACAGATAAACAAATAAATTTTCTTTTAAAAGCTTTTTTTTTGGAAGAGCTAGAGTGATTTCCAGTTTTCAATGATTCCAGAAATAACCAAACCAAAAACCAAACAAGGAAATTTCCCGGAAAGATTGAAAATTGCAAAATTTTCTGAAAAACGAAATGGATAGATTCATGGAAAACAGATTTTTCTTCTCTTGCTTCTAATTTTAGCTGAATCTTTAGAGGATTATTGGAAAAACTATTGGAAAAATCTCTTGGATCGCTAAAATGGATAATCTTCTAATCCGGACAAGCACAAATCGTGGATTTCGAGATAAAAGTAACAGTCATCACTTGCAACAATAAGTAA